GTGGGACTAAACTGCTGTAGGCTGAATGGGTGGGGCTAAACTGCTGTAGGCTGAATGGGTGGAGCTAAACTGCTGTAGGCTGAATGGGTGGAGCTAAACTGCTGTAGCTGAATGGGTGGAGCTAAACTGCTGTAGGCTGAATGGGTGGAGCTAAACTGCTGTAGCTGAATGGGATGGTGTTTATTCTCTAATCTACTTTCTAAATTGACTCTGAAGTTTCTTATTTGTAAAACATGGTCAGCACTTTAATTTGTTTACAAAGCAGCATGAATCACTTAACAGTGGTCCAAACAGGTCAAACGGTCAGCATCTGAGCTGCAGGTCCATCGGTCACAAAAACTGCTAACAGCCTGACAAACACAGACTAACGGCAGCAGTGAGGGTTACAAAGCTCACTGACCAGAGTAGATGGACACTTAATAGGGCAGTTAGTACAAAATTAAGGCCTCAAAAATGACCACAGAATTAAAAAGACTGGGCCTAAAAACAAACTGTAAGGAGCTTCACCAGCTTCTCACTGGAACTTTCCAGTCCACCTTAAATGGTCTGAGGTGCCAGCTGCACCAGTTAAAGGGTAACAGAAAACTCCAGTAATAACCCAGTTTCAGCCTGTAGCTCCTGCGCTAGGAGACGCTGGATGTTCTAAAAGGTTTCACTGCAGATCCAAAAGTTACTCTGAGCTTAAGTAGCTTTATGAGATAATCATTAGTATCCACAGCTGGGAGTAATAGAACATGTAAGCAGAACATTATGTTAATAGAACATAAGCAGGTGTAAACGAACACATAAGCAGAACATTATGTTCTATTATGTTCATAGAACATAAGCAGGTGTACTAGAACCTAGAGAGGTGTAACAGAACATAAGCAGGTGTAAAAGAACATAAGTAGGTGTAAAAGAACATAAGCAGGTGTAAAAGAACATAAGTAGGTGTAACAGAACATAAACAGGTGTACTAGAACCTAAAGAGATGTAACAGAACATAAGCAGGTGTAAAAGAACATAAGCAGGTGTAAAAGAATCTAAGCAGGTGTAAAAGAACCTAAGCAGGTGTAACAGAACATAAGCAGGTGTAAAAGAACATAAGCAGGTGTAAAAGAACATAAGTAGGTGTACTAGAACCTAAAGAGGCGTAACAGAACATAAGCAGGTGTACTAGAACCTAAAGAGGTGTAACAGAACATAAGCAGGTGTACTAGAACCTAAAGAGCTGTAACAGAACATAAGCAGGTATAGTAAAATATATGAATAGGTGTAATAGAACATAAGGAGTTGTAACAGAACATATGAGCAGATATAATAGAACATTAGAGCAGCAGCCCAGACTAATGGACGTACGTCTAATGGTCTGATGGGTCATCCTTCACCTTTGTCCTACACTCAGCTGTGGAAAAACCCAAAGCAGCCTTTAGTCACACAGCGTCTACCTGCCAACACTGCAAATGATCGTCTGACAAGTGAAATCATCTCAAACGCAGGTGATCAGTTTAATGATCCTCATCATGAGGAGGAATTTTAGGAATTTTAATATTATTCAGACTATTTCTAGACATGTTTACATATAAAATACCCAGTCAATCCTGTATTTACACTGACAGATCACTGTACTTCACAAAACTACTTTTCTGCATGATTAAGTGGTTAAGATGTAATCAGAGCCGTTCAGAGTCGTTCAGAGTGGTTTGGTGTGAAACGCTCTGTTCTAGATAAACGTACCGAGTCAGAACTGTTCACAGTGGCGGTGATAGGAACCAGACGTCCACCTCTAAAAGCTCCCTCACAGAAAGTTCCTACATGAAATGGTTATGAATTCACTGCCTGATGACTGAGACACTGTTTTATGATAGTTTAGAGAACTTAAACTCCATTCATGGTGGAGGGATACATGCAGGGCGCTGTGAGGCCAAATAGTCCCCAAAGAAAACGTATTATTTCAGATTTTCCACTATTTTCCATCATCAACATTCCATATAAACTCAGAAGACTCGTGTAGGTTCTCTGGTGGTTCTGGATAGTAAATAAAATGTCTATATCTGTGTTGTAGTCATGGCGACCCCTGGTTCCTATCAGCTTTAACAGAAGCGGAGGAGGCGACAGTGAGGAGCTGGCCCGCAGCAGGTTAGCCTCAGTGAGCTAATCGCTAGCCATGTACACTTTGCAGTGAAGGCGTTTGTTAAGAGGTTTGAGTGTGACGTACAGAACGTGAGTAGCTGCTTCGTCTGGTTATAAACTCGGAGTAGAGCCGTGGTGCAGTGCCTTTATTTTGTTCTTGTTATCCGTGTAGCTCTTAGCATGCTAACCAGCCAGCTAGCAGAGTGTAGTTTCAGCAGTCGTGTAAAACAGATGGAGCAGTTTGTAACTTAAAGCCCAGCAAACTGAACGTTCAGGTTTTTAAATGTTGGGTGTTTTAAAGTAGTTCACTGCTGTAGCTTATAAACCGCCATTATTTTGGGTTTGAAAGGGGAAATGCGTCACGCCGCAATGATTTCTGGGTATGTTCTGCTGCTGAAGTCGACACTGGTGTTCGCCCGGCCCCTCACCCCTCCGAGGGCCCATCAAACACCCTTCACTACAGTAATGAAACAGCCCTTAAGGTGGCGCTGGGGAGTCCCCCGAGAGGAAATGGGGAGTCCAAGTGGACGAGGGCTTCTTAAAACCAGTGTTGAGACTCTACAACGAACCATTTCACACCAAACCACTCCAAATGACTCTGTTTACATCTCACACACTGAATTACGAGGGAATTCTTTCAAAAAAGTGAGGAATTCACATTTAAAGACAAACAAAAAGTCCAGTATTGGTCTTTTTAGAGTCCACCATTTCTGCTTACTGATCAAAATAACCCCTGCATGAAAAATGACCAGCTTGCAATATGTAGCAATAGCGCTGGCGCCCCTGTGTGGCCAAAGTAGGAACAGCATGAACACCTGAACAACAAGCATCCGCTTATAAGGAAATAAGGGCAGATTTTTGTAGGTTATCTGATAAGAATATGATTAAGAAAAGGACGTTCTGCCTGTGCTGTGCCTCTTATCTATTTATGTGTCCCTTATAACGTTTAACACACCTTTTATATTGCGTTTATCCATGCAGGATCGCTTAGTTAGAGTGGATGGCATCTTTTTTAAGTAACAGAGGGCTGAGATCATCGTAATAAAGCTGTGAGGCACTGTGGCTGGACATGTCCACCACTTTTCAAAGTGGTTTGCTGAAACAGAAGAAAGAGAAACATGATGCGAATGATCTGATCAGTGCTGTAATCCAGCTCTATCAAGACAGATGAAAATAGCTGTAGATAAAGTACAGACAGATAAATGTGGTGCAGCTGTTTAATTCTGATGACTGTACAGAAAGAAAATTCTTCTGTTCCACCTTAAATGGGGCAGCAGTTACAGTCATGTTACAGAATGTAACTGCTCGGCAATTTAAGGTGGAACAGAGAATGTTGTTCCTTTCTATACAGGTACCAGAATAACCTCTGGACCATTTAAGGTAGAATAGAAAATTAAAAAAGAAGCTGGCCACTAAGAGGCTAACGGCTACAACATTTAAGGTGGAACAGAAAACTCCATTCCTTTCTATACAGGGGCTGAAATGTAACCATTTAAGGTGGAACAGAAAATTCAAATAGAAACCTTGTCAATAAGAAGCTAATTGCTGTACCATTTAAGGGGGAACTGAAAATCCAAATGAGAAGCTGACCAAAAAGAAGATAATAACTACATCATTTAAGGTGGAACTGAAAATTCAGCGCTTTTCTGTACAGGTTCCAGGATGTAAATGCTACTCCATTTAAGGTAGAATGGAAATACAAATAAGAGACTGACCAATGAGAAGCTAACTGCTGCACCGCTTAAGGTGGAATGGGAAATTCAAATAAAAAATCTGGCTAACAAGAAGCTAATGGCTGCACCGTTTAAGGTGGAACTGAAAATGTGGTTCCTTTCTGTACATTTAAGGTGGAAAGGCCAATTCCAATAACATTAGCCTCATTTAAACTGTGCAGGACGGTGGGCCGCCAGGACCCGAGCTGAGAAACAAACACGACTAACACAACTGACTCCACAGAGTTCACTGCAGTGTCTTGATCCACTTTATTAGAAAACGTTCGAGAGATTTCAGACAGGTCAGATTTCTAATCTGCCAAACGCAGCAGTGACATCAGAGCAGAACTGAGGAGAGAAAGAAATATTCAGCCCCTCCTCCACAACCAGCAGCTCCAACAAACACTTAGATTTTATTTCCTTTCTTTAGTCAAACCAGCCAAACAAGTTCACACAAACAGACGGAGGAGGAGGGGGAGGAGGAGGGGGGGTTCTGCTGCAAACCTTGAGAGAGAAAGAAGAAAATTAAAAAGACAGAAAGCAAGAGAGAGAGAGTAAAGAGAGAAAGGCAATATAGAGATAAATGAATAAATAAAGCCAGTGAGAGAGAGAGAGAGAGGGAGTAAGGAGAGAGAGATAAAGAGAGCGAGAGAGTGAAGAAAAACTGAGCTGAGACCGTAAAAATGGGAGAAAAGAGATTAGAAGAGATAAAAAAAAAGAGAGAAAAGAGTAAACAAGTTTGAGATCAAAAGAGAGAACAGCAAAGAGAGTAATGAGACAGGGTGGGCGAGAAAGAGTAGAGAGAGAAAGAACAAAGAGATGAATAAAGACTAAGATAGGGAATAAAAAGAAAGAGTGAGTAAAGAAAAACAGAGCATAAAAACGAGAGAAAAAAAAAGAACATTTTAAAAAAGAGAATAAATAGAAAAAACGAGAATAAACGAGTTCGGGAGACAGCGGAAAGCGAGTAAGAAGAAAAAGAGTAAAAAGAGAACGAGAGTCAGGAAGGAAGCATAAAATACAATTTAAAAAGTGCAGCGTTTAGTAAATAAATGGCGTTTTTTTTTGGCTCATCCTCAAAAATGTCAGATCAAACCAAAACACTATCAGAGTCCATGAACACTTGTGTCAAACACACTGTGCACTTCACACATGTAAACAAAAATCAGAGAAAAATACAGAACATCGTTTTATTTATAAAAAAACACACAAAACAGAACAATAAACATCATAACGTGCTATAAAAGTGAAAAACAAACAGAAACGTGGGCCAAAACAACGTAGTTCAGTTTGTAACATAACAGAATTTGAAAATGATCTCAGGATCTCAGGATGGTGTAACAGGAGGACGGTTACGGACAGGAGCAGCGCGAGGAACCGAAGCCAGACGTGTCAGTCCAGCCTCATCTATCAGACGCAGCCTCAGCGGGGTGGTCAGCTGCTCGTGTACAACGGAGGGAAAAATAAAAGTAATTTTAAAAACAGTGATGAAGTCGTAAACACGGTGGACGGAGGAGACACCAGGAGCTCCTCACGCCCAGCTTATCAGCTTCAGACCGAGCTGGGTTCTTCTCAGGATGGTCACAGACACAGAACATCAGTCTAATCCCATCAGCCTGCACTCAGCCAACGTCCTCACTCCGATACAACACTGCTGGACAGGCTGGACAGCTGCTTGGAGCAATGAAGAGACAGGAGGCTCTATGGCTACTGCTGGTGCCGTGTGTAGTTTCCATCTGAGTGGTCTCCAGCCCAGCTGAAAGGACCCTAGCCCAGCTGAGCGGTCTCCTGTCCATCTGAGTAGTCTCTAGTTCAGTTGAGTGGTTTAAAGCCAAGCCAAATGGTCTGTAGCCCATAAGTCATCTTCAGGCCCGCCAAGCAGTCTACAATCCAACGGAGCGATCTCTGGTCCAGTGGAGTGGTCCTGTTATACAATCTTCAACTCGACTGGGCAGACTCTAATCCAACTGTTGTGTCTCTAGTACTGTTGTACCGTCTTTATAACCTGGCCGTGTGGTCTCTAGCCCAGCTGTGCAGTCTTTAATCTTGCTGTGTGGTCTGTGCTCCAGCCAGGTGGTTTCTAATCTCACCGAGTAGTCTGTAGTCCATGTGAGCGGTCTCTAGCCCAGATGACTGGTCTCTAATCCAGCTGTGGTGTCTCTAGTGCTGTAGTGCAGTCTTTAACCCGGCCGTGTGGTCTCTAGCCCAGCTGTGTAGTCTTTGATCTTGTTGAGTGGGATCTACTCTGCTGTGTGGTCTAGTCAGGGGGGTTCTAGTCCCACTGAGTGGTCTCTAGCCCAGCTGAGTGGTTTCTACTGCAACCATACACTTTCTCAACCAGCCAAGTAGTCTTTAATCCAGGTGTGTGGTCCTTATCCCAGTTGAGTGGCCTTTAAACCAGCTGTGCAGTTTTTAACCCTGCCAAGCAGTTGCTACTAAAGTGGAGAGGTCTCCAACCATGCCATGCTGCCTCTGTCCCAGTGGAGTGTTCTCTAATCATGCCATGTAGTCTCTAGTTGAGCTGAGTGGTCTCTAGACCAGTCGAGCAGTTTTCATGTGGTTTCGAAGTCCCACTGTGTGGTCTCTAATTCAGACTCTACACCAGCTGAGTAGTCTCTAGTCCAGATGGTCAGTTTCTAGCCAAGGTCGTTTGGTATCCAATCCAGCTAAGGGGCCCCCAGTCACATTCACCTGAGTGGTCTTTATTTCAGTTACACAGTCTCTATCTGAGCGGTCTTTATCTCATGTGTACAGTATCTATTTCATCTGAGTGGTCTTTAGTTCAGCTGTAGAGTCTCTTATCCATCTGAGTGGTCTGTAGTTCAGTTGTAGAGTGTCTAATGCATCTGAGTGGTCTTTAGTTCAGTTGTAGAGTGTCTAATGCATCTGAGTGGTCTTTAGCTCAGCTGTAGAGTCTCTTATCCATCTGAGTCATCTGTAGTTCAGTTGTAGAGTCTCTTATCCATCTGAGTGGTCTTTAGTTCAGCTGTAGAGTCTCTTATCCATCTGAGTGGTCTGTAGTTCAGTTGTACAGTCTCTAATCCATCTGAGTGGTCTTTAGTTCAGTTGTACAGTCTCTAATCCATCTGAGTGGTCTTTAGTTCAGTTGTACAGTCTCTTATCCATCTGAGTGGTCTGTAGTTCAGTTCTAGAGTCTCTAATCCATCTGAGTGGTCTTTAGTTCAGTTGTACAGTCTCTAATCCATCTGAGTGGTCTTCAGTTTAGTTGTAGAGTCTCTAATCCATCTGAGTGGTCTGTAGTCCGGCTGGGTGGTCAGCACAGCAGGGGTGCCCCTGAAGAGTCTGTTCCTATGGCTGTGCTGGAGTAATAAGCTGTGGAGACAAAACACCAACAGACTGTAGTTACAGCAAACATTAACACCTCAATCAGGAACCAACCTGCTCACCACTGATCCAGGACTCGTTTACAAAACATCTGCACACACAGATATGGTCTTAAAATGATCATAGATGAAAATTCACATCTGGGGGTGGGCAACACGACGATATTTTGTCATTATTGTGATAAATGATGTTACAATATGCATTTCTGAGCAGAGACAATCAAAACATAAAGAACTCTGACACTGCATGCGTCATTTCAAAGACTGCAAAATTAGTGCTGTGCAGGACGTGAAACAATAAATATAAAATCAATTTATAATTATCATATTCATCATTTTTGACAGCATTTTTAAAATGTGGAACTGCTGGGGCTCCTTTGTTGGTTCTAACGTATGAAATTTATGTTCCACTTTTTTTAAGAATGATGATATTGTATTTCTGCCATATCCCTCACCACCACACTCTTAAAAAAGATGGTTCTTCAAGGGTTCTTAGTAAAAACAATGGTTCTATATAGAACCATGAACACTCAAAAAACCACTGGCATGCTTAAGGGGTTCTTTGCATGGTGAAACGGTTCGTCAGATTGATGGAGAACGTGTTGAATATGGTTCTATATAGAACCAATAAGCGTTCTTCTATTGTACACTAGCTTAACACTGTAGCAACAGCAGAACCCTTTTGGTGCTATATAGAACCCTTTTTAAATATACAACACATTCTCCATCAATCTGTAGAAGAAGTTTACACATAACAGAACCACTGTCTTTACTAAAGAACCCTTGAAGAACCATGTTTGTACGTTTAAGTAGTGATAATGTGAATTTGACGTAAAACGTATGTATATCAGTGCAGATGTCCAGCCTTGCGTATGAACCCTTTAAACCGTGTACGTTATTAATCTGTGAACTAACCTTTTGCACAAATATTAACAGCAATGATGACATTTTAGCACTTAAATGTACTTTGGAAGAACAAAACAGCCCAGAAAAGGAGTCTAACATCGTCTTCTTTCTGACGATAATCTAAGCAGCGTGTAAGACAGTCCTTCCCCCCCCCGACGCTGTAAGACGACACCAGTGCTTTCACTCTCCACACTTCATAAACACATTCCATCACACGATCCTGCTGAAAGGCGAGAGCATCACTAAATGACATAATGAAGGTGCTCTTTATCCGCGGAGCAGCAGCGTGTGAGCTGATCCAGCGGTGTGGAGGACAAAGCGCTGGGAGGTGATTACTGAACGTCTGAAAAATGAGCTGAGGAGCTCCAGCGTTCAGGGACAGACAAAGGCGAGGCAGGAGCTCCGGGCCCAGAGACTCGGCTGCTCCCAGAGGCAGCCAGGGGCTCCGTTCTTTATCCTCCACGAGACAGAGTGGAGGAGAAAACGCCTCACACAGATGCGTTCCTGCGTTTTTACAGCAGAACCGATTACTGTAACGTTTTTTTACTGGAGAAAACAATCATCACCCCGTTTACACGCGGCACTGACCGCCTGGGTCTGTTAGAGAGAGTTTAAAGCTCTGCTGCAGGTTTTTAAAGCTCTAAATGACCTTAAAGCTCCTGAACGTCTGTTTATGGTCTCAGATCTGCAGATTCTGACCTTCTGAACACCTTCAGCACAGAAAACGTGGAGAGACTCTTTCAGTTGTTCTGCTTCTAAACTGTGGAGCTCAGTTCAGCTTTTATTAGACGTTTATCTGAAAAATATCTTTTAATTCAGCCTTTATTTATTCTAAAGCAACACATTTATCATCTATATTATTTTACATAATTTTACTACAACAACAATAATAATTACTATTATTATTATTTTTTTTTATTATTATTATTATTATTATTATTATTATACAGCAGGGCCCTGTCTCCTTAAGCATGTTCAACACAGACAAGATTCCTGATTAAATTAGAAGGCCTTCCTGATCTGATTGGTCAGAAGGCTTTCCCTGATCTGATTGGTCAGAAGTCTACCCCGATTGATCAGAAGGCTTTCCCTGATTAGTGCGAAACCTTTTTGTTCTTGTTTAAGAACCGAAATCCCGAACACAGGAGCAGGTCAGGTGTGCAGAATACGCTGCTATGGTGATGAATCCTGGTATAAAGTGATCACCATCATGAGACAGAAAATCCAGAGTTAGATCAAACTTAAGCTTAAAGGTAGTTTAATCCTGCGCTGTGAGATGGGACCATTCAACTCAGGCAGAGAGCGCTGAGCTCCCTCAGGGCTGAGATCGGGTCATTTATCCTGCAGTATTGGGCTCATATTGCTAATAATGACACCAGCACTGAACAAAAGCCTCGATGTGGCAGATCAGTGCGCAGAGCAGAGATGTGAGAGGGAAAGTAGCCTGTGGAACTCACCGCTGCGTCCACTGTGCACTCTCATCTTCCGGGCCAGTTCATCTGACGGCGTCAAATCGGACACCTGCACCTCCGGCTCCCCTTAGAAGGAATCCAAACATGTGGTCAGGAGAAATATGGAGCAGTGGTCATACATGACTGACTAACTAGGATCTTTTTCTGTTCCACCTTTAAGGATGCATGATGACACTAGTATTGACCCCCCCCTTATTCTATACCTGCACGTATAGACTGACATCTTGTACATCTTCCATGCATATGTTGTCTAATCTGGAATATATATATGTTATTATATATTATACATATTCTATCCCCTGTGTATCCTGCATCTCATTCATCTACCTCAGACTCACATTTTGCATATGTAGCACTATGTACAACCGTACATATCATAGCTTTTACTTCATGACTTATATTACTGTATAAAAACTGTACATTGGACAGGGTGCAATACTGGTGTATATTATACATGTATATAATATATGTGTATACATATTTTTATACACATTACTTATTTTTGTATTTAAGTACTATTAGGGGGCTACACACCTAAGAATTTCACTTACCTTCACACCTGTGTAAATGTGATTTGATTTGATTCAATTTGATAACGTGTGGTTTTATGTGTCAAACACAGCTGAAATGAACATTAAACATTCCTACCTCTTTTTAAAATTACAGTTTTTGTTACTGCGCCTTTAAGACTGTATGTAAATGAGCTCTGTTCTGATTGCCTGTGCCTCATTAAAAGAGCAGCCAGGGCTGAAACGCTCCTTAGAATTTCAGTGTGTGTGGGCGGGGCTAAACTTCATGTTGGCTTGAAAGGTGGATGTGTGTAAATGTGCTGGGTTTTGTGAAATCACAAAAACAATGAACTCAAAACAGGATGATTTTGCAGTTTAGTTTCTGTATATGGACGGAGATGTGAGTATGTTTTGATAATAACAGTGTTTACATCAGACGATTGAGTTTTCAGTGATACTGGCCCTTTAATTATATACTAATCAGCGCCACACAGATGTTTAGATTTGGTCGATTTTTCAAATCAATACTTAATAATGCATTTTCTGAACACCAGAAGGTGACGCTGCCCTGATTTGATTCATTTTCCTTCGTTATTAACCCCACAGACATAACGTCATATCTCTCTGTAAGGCTAATAAACGCTGATGTCGTTCCAGTTTCTACATTTCATAAATGTTTATATATCGGCATCAGCAGATACATATATTAGACATCGGCATCGACACACAAATCCTATTTTGGTGCATCAGTTGCGGTTTTAGTGCCACTTGGTAGATGTAAATGCAGATGGTCCACAGTTTTGTTCTGTCCCTCTTCTCAACAAACTAGACTATGAGGTACAGAATACCTGGTGCAGGTGAACTGGGAGCAGGCCTAAGGTACAACCCACCGAGTGGTCCTCAGGTTCCACTTACCATTGCTGAAGGTGAAGGTCATCGTCTCGTTCCCGCTGTCGGGCAGCGTCCCGTCCCTCCTCCCATTGGCCTGGAGCAGTGCATCCTGGGATCTGTAGTCCTTGTTGCTGTAGCCTTTGGAGCTCTGAGACTTGTACTTGCGTGTGCTGATGCGTATGACGCCGTGCACCAGCCGGCACTCGGCCTCCTGCTCCTCCAGGTTGTAGTCCTGCGCGATGCTGTTGATCAGGTCGCTGATCTCGTTGGTCTTGCGCGAGAAGGACTGGTCCGACGTGCACTTGGCCAGCTGCTCGATCTGGTGAAGCTTGTAAAGCTCCAGCAGCTTCTTGGTGATGAGCGAGTCGATGTCTGTGCCGCCGTCGTCCACATCATCCACATCCAGGTCCTCTCTGGAGTAGATGCTGGTGTTGCTCACTGGACGCTGGCTCTCTCCTTTACCCGCGGCCCTGCTGCGGCGTGCCGGAGCCTCCGAGTTGGTGGGGTAAACCACCTTCTTTCCAGCCAGGTAGACATCACGGTAGCGGAAGCTCTCAGAACTGGGCAGCTGGGCGGGCTTGCTGGGTTCCAGCGTTATGCCGCAGGTGGGATTGGTCATGGCCAGAATGGGGGCTCTCCGGGGCTCCGGCTCAGACTTCGGCGGGGCATCGGTGGAACTCTCGTTAGGAGGTAAGCATGGCTGGCGGTTGCCATAAAGGCCACAAGTGAGCACACAGCACAGCAATGCCCTGCAGCCACTCCAGCCCAGGGAGGAGCAGGAACCGCAGGCCCGGCCGCTTCCCACCGGCGCCGCTGCCGAACCCGGGATGAAGCCCAGCGTCTCGGAGCTGCGGCCATTAGCGTAGCGCGGCGGAGGCTTGTAGGAGGGCTGTGTGTCGATGATCCGTGGCCGGTCGTTGTAGTGATCCCGGGACAGGTCTTGGCCAGCAGCATGACGATCCCGGTACGGTTCCTGGCCAGTGCCGTGGTGATCCCAGTACAGTTCTTGGCCAGTGCCGTGGTGATCCCGGTAGGAGTCCTGGCTGGTGGCGCTGTCCCGGGAGTTGGTGCGACCTTGTCGGTAGCCCTCGGCCCTGCAGCGCCCCGAACCGTGCGCGTGGGAGCGGGACTTGTGGTTCGGCGCGGTGCTGTGGCCAGGCATGGCACTCCGCGGTCAGGACCTGCGGAACAGCCAGGAAGAAGTGAACATTCATTCACAGCCAGCACAGACTGGAAAACACATCTACTCACAACACGAAGCCATTTTCCACAGACCACATTTAAATCCACATTTTTCTCACACATTTGTGTGGGTTTACGCACCAAAGGCAGCCATAAATTCATGCGTACATGACCATTTCCAACATCTGTTTAATCCCTTTTACTCGTTTTAATGACGATGTTAGATGGTCAACAGCAAACAAGACTTTGCTGGTTTTGCAGCCAAACTTTCGCTGTCAGCTGCAATATTGGAAGAGCTTGTTAATTTTTTTGGGAGACGTCCAGCTGTACCCTGTATTATACGACAAATAATAAAAGATTATTTACACAACGTCCTGCTGACGTTTTCCACCTTAAATAAACATTCAACCCTGCTGCTCTCCCTTTTTCGCCGTTAATGTTGTCACGTACCGCTATGAGGCATGGAACCACGTTTTCCCCCCAGTGCCAATAGTTACGCACAACATTACTGTTTGTGTTACTGTGCCTTTAAGACTGATATATGCAGTGTGGGCTGAAACACTCCCTATGACTTTACAGTGAAGGGGTGGGGCCAAACTGCCATAGGCAGAACAAGCGGATATAATAATAATAATAATAATAATAATAATAATAATGTCACATACTTCAAAAATCTTCATGATACACGACATGGCAAGATATTTATTTTAACATCTGACCAGTTGGAACAAAGGAAATATAACCAGCAGAGCTACATTTAAAAAAATGCTATCAAAAAGTGTGAATAGAATGATTTTAATTCAGAATTTGGCACTAAATCGTTTCCATTAACGGACTGAACGGATCTGAAACTTTAACATGATTTACCTACTAAAATCAAACTTTTATTTAAAGCAGAACCCAGGAAAGTTCAGTCTGATGATGTTGATACGGGCCCTTAAACTCCCCTGCCAGGATTCCACTGACTGATGAGTCAGGCGGAGTAAAAACAGCAGAACCTCCCAAAAACATCAACAGCCGAGCAGGTCTTCATGTGCAGTGAGAGAGCAGGCCCGACTCAGGAAGCTAGCTTTAGCGGCGGGTCGTGGTTTTTGTTGACAGGCCGCCTCTTATCCCAATTTTCCGTTCCACCTTAAATGGCGCAGCACTTCCAGGCGCCTGAGTGTAACTGCCGCGCCATTTAAGGTGGAATAGAAAATTCGAAACTAACTTCAGCTTCGTCCATCCTCAGACATTTACTGGGGTCAGTTAGTGAGGCTGATCCCTGATTTACTGACCGAAAACAGCAGCAATTTCCCCCAAAAACCCACCAATGAAAGCTGGTCCTCACCTCATAGGCTCGGGTCAGAAATCCTCGCTGTTTTGTTGCGAGTCCGCCGTCTCGGCGCTCCGATCACGGAAGTGAAGCTGAACTGCTTTACTTTAGAGAAAATTAACGTTGATCACCCGTTACGTCACTAATCTTCACCCAGACCCCTTAAACCGGACCTTCACATGACCCCTGCGGTACGTGTGCGGGATTCAGGCCCAGCTGACGGTGGAGGTTCTCGGTAAAGGCTCGGCTCTTCTCCGCTCCCTCCTGCTGTACCTGAGCTACCTGAGCTACCTGGGCTACAGGTATGATCATGCTGCCTTCAGAGCGCCGCCCAGCCGGGATTCCCCCGGTTACTACCCGCCTGATACACTCTGAAAAAGATGCTTTAAGGGTTCTTTAGTAAAGAAAATGGTTCTGTAGAACCATGAACACTCAAAGAACACTTTGAATGGTGAAATGGTTCTTGAGATTGATGGAGAATATGCTGTAGGTGGTTCTGTATAGAACCTTTTTGAAAAGGGTTCTGTATAGCACCCAAAGTGTTCTTCGGGTGTAACAGTGTCAGGCTTGTAACAATAGAAGAACGCTTTCCAAAAAGGTTCTATATAGAAATGTCTAGCACATTTATGCACATTTTCCTTCAACCCGCAGAACCATTTCACCATGCAAAGAACCATTTAGTCATGCAGAGGGTTTTTTGAGTGTTCATGGTTCTATATAGAACCATTTTCTTTACTAAAGAACCCTTGTAGAACCATGATTTTTAAGAGTGTAGAACTGTACCGTATTCCCTACTGACAAAGGGCCATTAGAGACCATTAGGGTTAAAACCTAGTGGTTTTGCTTTCTAATGGGAATTGGCTTTATGGTTTCCAATAGAGGCCACTAGTTTTCTGTAGAACAACTTTAGGAAACCATCAAATGCATTTAGAATCAGACACTGATTAAAGTAAACCATTAGGATCCTTTACACTGTGATATCAACCCAAAGACTAAACACATTACAGAACCTTTAGGAACCAACAGACACACTTAACTATTTCTATGGATTTTTGTCAGCAGGGATGACTTTCAGTTAAAGGAGAATTCCACCAATTTTTCAAAATTTCCTCTATATGTAAGTTGTTCAGATGTAAACAGAGTGGTTTGGTGTGGTTCAGAGTGGTTTGGTGTGAAACGCTCCGTTCTAGATAAACTTACAGAGTCAGAACTGTTCACAGTGGTGGTGATAGGAACCAGACGTCCACCTCTAAAAGCTCCCTCACAGAAAGTTCCTACATGAAATGGTTATGAATTCACTGCCTGATGACTGAGACACTGTTTTATGATAGTTTAGAGAACTTAAACTCCATTCATGGTGGAGGGATACATGCAGGGCGCTGTGAGGCAAAATAGTCCCCAAAGAAAACTGATTATTTCAGATTTTCCACTATTTTCTCAGACCACAGAACTACTTCAGATTCAGAGTCTGTCACTGAGTGAGCTTTTCAGAACAACTAAACAAACACAGTTCAGCGAGCGAGGCGAGCCGTGAACACGTTACTGACTGACTGGGACTAAACCACCTTCAGCTTCATCTGGAGACACTGACACAGCTGAGCTCAAGCTGATATTCAGTCTTACGGCTCAGTAATGCTAAAGGGGACTACTTTATTGAATGTAAAGCACTGATGCACTTTTTTATTTATGTATTTATTTATTTATACTAGGGAGGTGTGTTATTGTGAATCATGGCTGTAATGATCTACTGTACTCACCTTCAGCTCATACCTGTGACCCAATCACAGCAGTGATTCACCAAAACACACAACCTCCAGTGTTTTATCGCTTATTTGGGTCATTCTACAGAAACGTCTATTTTGTGTCCCTAGTGTTTACAGATATATTTCACTTCAAAAACATGTTAGAGTTATAAATTGTTTATATTTTAAAATAAAACAATGTCATTTTAACAATTACGCCTTCTTGAGCCTCAATTTAGCAATATTGGTTTTTAAATCAATCATACAGAATTCCAATCACCACAGAAGAGCACAGTCATGTGTGAAGGCTGAGGCCACATTTTGAAGTAAAATACGTTTTTCTACAATTTTAACTGCAATAATCTATACATGACTATGGAATATATGATTTAAATGACATAAAGGAAACAAACACCAAATAAATATTATAAAATATATAATGAAAGTTGTCTCCAGGAGTCGTGTCACTGGTGTTACTGCGTAACAAAAGTCTCTTATTTTGAAATAAAAGTCACACTGATGACATCACTCGACTTCCTTTTACCTGTTTTCTGAGGATCTATGAAGAAAAGCACATGGTGAGTCCACTGAGTCTTTCATTTATCAGAGATTTTCTCATTCAGCTCATGATTTCATATGAAGCTTTTAGCTGAAGTCACTGGTGTGACCGACTTTATTCTGAGGTAGTGGTGAAAAAATAGAATACAAATGGATTAAATTCCTTATTTTAGTGGACATTCCATGATTGACCACATGTGGTTTGATGTTCTGTAGCAGCCGTTCTGTAAAATGCATTGTTCATTAAAAATGTCTCTGGTGTTCCTTTATTATGTGTAACACCAGTGAGGATCAGTAACACCAGTGACTCCTACGGAGAGACAGAAAAGTGGACGTTTCTGTAGAATGACCCACACACAATGAACATAAGTGCACTTGTTTAATAAACCTCAATACAATGTAGATAATAGACAAAGAAACACTCTGAACTCTCTCTGTCCTCAGTGCTAATGGACACCTCCCACCGCTGACCCTCCCTGACCCTCAAACTGTCCATCAGCACGGACACTGTGAGACAGACAGACGGTAAACAGCATGCAGGACGCAGCAGGCCGAGCGTCCTCCACACCACCCTGCTGTACACACAGCACCTTCATACTAGAGACTTTATTAATTTCAGCATTTTTATTTACATATTGCACTTTTGTTTTAGTTACATAAACCTCAGAGAGCTTTAAACAGACAGAGTTTATATAGGAATTCATGGAATGAATGAAATTAAAGCACAGTCACATATTATAGATGATACATTTAGTGTGGATTTAAACAAAGGAGACGAAGGTGCTTCAACTAAATATAGATGAGATGTTAAAAAAAGTGAAAAACAGACTTTACTGAGTTAAAAACATGGCATTTCAACCCACACAAGGCCGTCTTCATCTGATTAAGGTCTGGTTTGGGTTCAGAGTCTTTAATCCGGGTTTAAAAACACTTATCGCTCCTCTTTCAAGCTCAATAAAATAAAAATAATACAGATCTAGTAATGGAACCACCTTCACAGACCTGATCAGTCTCGCTGCGCTAAAACCCATCTGTGATCTGTTTAGCACCGTCTCTGTGTCTGTTGTGTTTCATGTGTCTCCTGTTTGTTTACACTCCTCTACGCTACACTGATTTGTGGATATACAGTGAGCTGTTCTCTGTGTTCTACTGTAAACTCTATTTTATGCTGTTCTTCCTCTCTGTGTCTCACTGCTGTCGTCTCTGAACGTGTCGGCGCTAATTCAGTGTAACAGACACAAACACACAGAGAGGTGGAGCTGAGGGCCTCTGCTGCTGTATGTAACACAGGCTGATGCGTTTGCCAAATGCAGAGACGTAGATTAATATCAGGTGTCCTGCTTTGATCCATTACAGTCATTAACTCCGAACTCCTGCACAGACACGTGTGCGAAGGCAGTGTATCACGGCTGCGCGTGACGTCAGCTCTGTCGTTTGCAGCCCTGACTGTGCGAGCAGCCCAGAGGTGGTGATTCTTCACTCTGCTCCACTTTCACTACCTGCTCAACCTACAAACACTAAAAACCCAACACCCCGAAAATCCCACAAAACAAACCAAAAACCCTACAAAACACCACTAAAACCCTACAAAATACTCCTAAAACCCAACCAAATACTCCTAAAACCCCTAACCACACCCCTAAAATCTGACAGAACACCCCTAAACCCAGAAAAACACATCTAAAACTCCATCAACACCCCTAAAACACACCAAAAACCCTCAACACACCCCTAATACAACAGAACACCCCTAAAATCCAACAAAATACTCCTGAAACCACTCACCATACACCTAAAATCCAACAGAACACCTATAAAACCCCATGAAAAAGCCTACATCTCTACAAAACACCCTTAAAACCCAACAAAACACCAAAACTCCCCTAAACCCAACAAAACCCCAAAACACCCCTAAAACGCAACAGAACATACCTAACACCCCTCAAAACACCCCGGAGACCTACAAAACACACCTAACACCCCATAAACACACCCCTAGGACCCCATAGAAGATCCTACAACTCTACAAAACACCTCTACAATCCCACAAACACCCCTAAACCCCAACAAAAAACCCTCAACATACCCCTAAATACAACAGAACAGCCCTAAAACCCAACAAAACCAAACTAATACCCCAGAAACACACCCCCAAAACCACATAACAGACGCTACATCTCTACAAAACACCCCTAAAACCCAACAAACACCCCAAAACCCAAAGCACCCCTAAACCCAACAAAACACACCTAAAATCCCAGAAACACTCCAAAAACCCAAAACACCACTAAAACGCCACAAAACACACCAAACCCCCAACACCCCTAAAACTTAATAAACCACCCCGTAAACCCAACAAAACCCTAAAACACCCTCAATGCCACTCATAAATACCCAAAAGACTTCAAAAGTCCTCCAACACTCCCAAAACCCAACACAAAACTCCACAAAACATAGCAACACCCCCACACAACCTCCCAAAAACTACTCACACACCTCTAAACCTCTTGAAACACCCCTAAAACTACTCAAACCACCCTTCACACCTGCCCAAAAAACCCTTTCAAACACTCTTCTGATACCACTAGACTCCTTAAAACTTAACAAATGCCCCTAAAACCCACCAAACACCACTAAACCCTCACCAAAACACCCCTACTGCTCAGCACCCTCTGACCTGCCCTGGCCAGCAGCTCTGAGACCACTTCACCAGAGTTTCACATCCGTGGCTGAGAAAGCAGATGATGGAAAAGAGAGTCTGTACATTTCCAGGAACAAACATGCATCTATTGAGAGGGAAGTGTGGAGGTCCTGCACACACACAGCCTCTTTAGTCTTCATTAGTCTGTTTAAAGGTGAGATCCGGTCACTCGCTGGCTTTGTCCACTCAGCAGGGCAGATCAGATCTGATTCTTTCAGGATTTTGGGTAAATGAGAAATGTGACTGAACTCCGGGTTCCACTACAGTGTGACGTCAGAGGGGATGTTGGTGATGCGGGCGTCAGATGGGGCGTGCGGTGGGCGTGGCTCAGTGCGGAGATGATGCCGGCTGTTAGAGGAGAGGTTTCTGAGTCTAGGGTCCGAGTCGAGCTCGTAGCGGTAGTGATAGCCCTCCAGCACGTCTCTGCAGGCCGCGTGCAGGTCCGTCACCCACTTCTCTATCCCCCTGCGGTTCAGATAGATCACCAGCAGAAAGATCATGCCCACGAAGCCGAGCACCAGGCCCAGGAACACGTAGGACGTCTGCAGGGTCACGTCCGCCGCCCCCGCGTTAGCCTTTCCGTAGCAGCCCGGGGAGCGTGAGCTTAGCATCCTCACCGGCACCCCCTGCAGGTCGGCCGGAGAGCCGCACAGCAGCTTATCAGCGTCTCCGACCTGTGAACTCGAGCTGTTTATCCAGCGAGAGAACTCCTGAGCCTCGCAGGAGCAGCTGTAGGGGTTCTGGCCCAGAAGCAGCCGGGCCTGGCCCAGTTTCTCCAGCTCCCTCAAAGCCTCCGAGCTGACGGCCTGAAACGCGTTAGAGCGCAAGTCCAGCTCCTTCAGTCGCTCCAGCCCAGAGAATGTGCCGCTGTAGACAGCCACCAGCGAGTTGTTGGCCAGGCTGAGGCGCCGCAGACTGGGCAGCGGCGAGAACGAGCCCGGGGGCAACAGAACCAGCCGGTTCCCTGACAGGTCCAGCTCCAGCAGGCTGGACAGTGCCCCCCAGCGGAGAGCGGTGATCAGGTCGGTGACGGAGGTGGAGTTATAGAGCGACCCGCTCAGGCTGAGCTGCTGCAGGGGGCTGCCCGGGATGGCGAACGCTTCAGGGTGGATCAGAACCAGACGGTTTTCACTCAGGTCCAGTCTGCGCAGCACACGCAGCTCAGAGAACGCATGAGAACCCAACTCCATTATTCTAAAAAATGAACATCAGAAAAGAGCAGAAAAGAACATGAGGAAGTAAGCGACATATGAAAGGTCTGCAATTCTGAGAGAACCGTTGTTATTTATAACATAAAAGTCCAGAAAAAGACTTTTTGATTATTTATAACTTTAAAAAATACAGTATAAAAGCTCTAAAGCTGCCAAAGTACATTAAATCATTATTTATAACACCAGAATAAGAAGCATGAAAGCGCAGGAGCCCAGCTCTGTAATCTATTAATCCATATTCATTTTCATTTTAAACATCATACACAGTCCTGTGCTAAAGAATCCATACTGAATACATCTTTAATTACACCTCAGTGTCACTGCTGGACTGAGAATAGTCCACCAACCAGAAATATCCAGCCAACAGCGTCCTGTGGGCAGCGTCCTGTGACCACTGATGAAGGACTAGAGGATGACCAACACAAACTGTGCAGCAGCAGATGAGCTATCGTCTCTGACTTTACATCTACAAGGTGGACCGACAAGGTAGGAGTGTCTAATAGTGAGTGGACAGTGAGTGGACACAGTGTTTAAAAACTCCAGCAGCACTGCTGTGTCTGATCCACTCAGACCAGCACAACACACACTAACACACCACCACCACGTCAGTGTTACTGCAGTGCTGAGAATGACCCACCACCCAAATAGTACCTGCTCTGTGAGGTTCCATGGGGGTCCTGACCACTGAAGAACAGGGTAACAAAGTATCAGAGAAACAGATGGACTACAGTCTGTAACTGTAGAACTACAGAGTGAAGCTATACGGTCAGTGGAGCTGATAAAGTGGACAGAGTGGAGATACAAGGAGGTGGATTTAATGTTATGGCTGATTAGTAGTTTGTAATGGTCAAATCCAGACTGTAGGAGTTATTAGTGTGTATAAAAAATGATGTATAAAAGCATGAAAGACCACCTTAACAGACCTGCAGGTTTCTTTATTAACGTCAGTCTACAGTGTTGATTACTCAGAAGAACGGTTCTTACCCGTCGTTGGTGAGCTCCAGCGTGCTGACGTTCTCCGCTCCGCTGAAGGAGTTCTGGTGGATCTGGTGGATCTGGTCTCCTCTGATGACCAGGCTGAGGGTGTTTTTGGGCAGTGTGGGGGGGACGCAGCTCAGAGACGCCGAAACACATCTAACGGTGTGTGTGTCCTTCACACACTCGCAGCCCGCCACACACTCCGCACAGCACGCACACACACACAGCAACACACACAGGAGCAGAGGAACCAGGAGCATCTTCTCCAGCAGACCAGCTCAGGAACGCCGCCTGATCCGCATCACTGCAGGTGTGAGAACCCACACACAGCCTCAGCGCTTAAATACGAGGGGAGGAGGGGAGGGAGGGGCTGCCGAATTTACACAGGACATCCATCTGGAGAAGGGGGTGGGGGGGTGGAGTTCATCATTAAGGACACTGGGGACAGAGTAAACACAGAGAATTAAAGGCTGGACGATACAGCAGAAACATCACATCATGTACACGATACGTAGCACAATACTTCATTTTTATGAGGTTTGAAACAGGTAACATGTAAAACTACATTTTAAAAAGCTAATAAACTATGAATGATAATATTTTATTCATTACTGATTTTATTAGATATTTGAATCAGTTTTTGTTTCTTCAAAGGCCAACAATAAAAATAGGCTTAAGTGGATGATGCCATACACGAAACAATTTCAAAAAGTTCTGACAGTATGTAAAATACAAATAGCATATGGACAGTTTTCAAAAAGACAGTTCTTCAAGGGTTCTTTAGTAAAGGCAATGTTCCATTTAAAACCATATATAGAACCATCTGCTGCTTAAACGGTTCTCTGCATGGTGAAATGGTTCTTCAGATCGAAGGAGAATGTGTTGTATATGATTCTATATAGAACCTGTTTTGAAAATGGTTCTATCTAGCACCAAAAAGTGTTCTGCCATTGTAGATGTAAAGCTTGTAACCATGAAAGAACTTTTTGGTGCTATATAGCACCATATACATCCATCCATCATCTAAACCGCTTATCCTTCTGGGTCGCGGTGGGGTGCTGGAGCCTATCCCAGCTGTCATTGGGCGGAAGGCAGGATACACCCTGGACAGGTCACCAGTCCATCACAGGGCAGCACCATATACAATTCATTCTTAAACAATGTTAAGAACTATTTCACCATGCAAAGAACCACATAAGCATGCAAATGGTTCCACATAGAACTCATGGTTATGAATAGAACCATTCCCTTTATTTTTTTTAAGCTTTGACAAACGATTATCAGCAAACACTTTTTGTCACTGAATCCACAAATGCGAGTTCAGGCTGTACTATGCACATCCAGAAACGCCGCCGACTTCTCTGGGCTCGAGCTCATCTGACATGGACCGATGCTCAGTGAAAACGTGTATTGTGGTCTGACGAGTCGACCTTTCAGATTGTTTATGGAAATAATGGACATCGTGTTCTGCAGGCCAAAGAAGAAAAGGACTATCCAGATTGTTACCAGCATAAAGTTGCAGACAGTTTTATAGAAGGAAGAGTCAGTATTGATCCACTCAGCACTGATGGCTACAAACAGCTGAAAAACACTGCCGAGCTAGTTTGTGTTTAATCTGAGTCCAAATATTCTCTTCAGGGGTTAAATCTGGACTCTGACTAGCGAAAACAATCAGTAAAAACCGTGTTATTTTGGTAATCTGGGCTTGGCCCATTTCTGTAACAGGAGTGAACACAGTTTTGGAGCAACATACACTGCCTTCTAGACAACGTCTTTTTCAGGACAGCCAAAGCAAAACAATGTATGGCTGTACAGCTACAGATTTGTATAACAGAAGAATGACAAAAAATTCCAATTTCAGAACTGGATCCGTTTGTGTCTTTGGATTATTCAGTCTTGTTAAATGGAAGATGATGTAACACAGTGTAAAAACGCTCCTGTAAGAAATGTGGGGAACTAATTTAGAACAAGTGTATATTTGCATAAAAAGTTCATTAGGTCAACCAGACCCAAGACCTAAGGTCAAACAGAATTTACGAATCACTGCTTTGTTTTTAGTAGCATTTCATACACTGTCCAACTTTTATGGAATTGGGGTTTGTACTTCACTGGAAAAGATCAAAAAGTTCTGGAAAAAAAGTAAATTTTCTTCACTGTATCTACTGCAGTTTTACAGTGAATTGTTCAGTAAAACACTTCAGTTTAGACCTGATTAAACAAAACCTTTTACTTCATATACATGCAAATTATTACAACAAATATTTAACTTTACTCCATATACATGATCCTGCTGGTGTGGGTTTCCTCTTTTAGCGACGCACACAAAAGTGACTTGTGTGCTAATAGCTCCCCCTTGTGGCCACTTTTCTGTGACAGATACCATGTTTATCACATGTGAACTAATCACCAAGATGATTCATCCAGAATATAATCTGTTTTAATCCAATAATCAATTTTAATCCAGTAATCATTCCCATTATACACTCAGAAAAGGCAACATTTATCACAATAACACTGACATTTCATCATATCATCATATCCTTTCACTGAATTTATACTCCATTCTAAACATTCCTGCATAAGCAAGAGGCCTTACATTCAGATGGTGGACGTGTATTTAAATTCAAAACACAAAGACAAATCATTGCACAAAAACATAACGAACAACAAAGTGAAAACGAGGAGAAAAGGAAAAGCAGCCCTTGTTTCTGCCACATAGAGGGTCAACCTTAAACAAGACACAGTATCCTGGATGGAGCATCTAACAGAGGTTTACTATTTCGAGACGTATTGCATATTAAAAATCACCAAAAAAGATGATATGGTCAACACTGACCATATCACTGCCCAGAGCTGAGTTGCTTGGTCACCATTAATAGTAATGGCATCGTCTGCAAACAGGAAAAGTCTGAATTTCACCAGAGTTAATAAACCACTTCCCCTTTCCAGGCTCCGCCCACAAATGTGTTCTTTTGTAGCTACTGTAGTGAAGTGGGACCAGCTTTACAGAACACTGATAAAAATCCTATTAAACCTAATGAGAAACTGTAGAACCCTAAATAAAATATAAAGGAACTCAACTCTAAATGTAGGTATTGTGATATAAACCGAGTCTGTTCTACAGTTTCTCATTAGGCTGAATGAATAACTGACTCTAAATGTAGGTATTGTGATATAAACCGAGTCTGTTCTACAGTTTCTCATTAGGCTGAATGAATAACTGACTCTAAATGTAGGTATTGTGATATAAACCGAGTCTGTTCTACAGTTTCTCATTAGGCTGAATGAATAACTGACTCTAAATGTAGGTATTGTGATATAAACTGAGTCTGTTCTACAGTTTCTCATTAGGCTGAATGAATAACCGACTCTAAATGTAGGTATTGTGATATAAACTGAGGCTGTTCTACAGTTTCTCATTAGGCTGAATGAATAACCGACTCTAAATGTAGGTATTGTGATATAAACTGAGGCTGTTCTACAGTTTCTCGTTAGATTTAGGGGGATTTTTCCCAGCGTACTGTGAGAACACATTTGTGGGCGGAGCATGTGCAGGTAAATCAATCTTAGAGCAGGAGGCTGTAGTGATGAGGTGTAAGTCTGGTCTGATGGTCTTCTCTGTATGCTGCTGGTCTTCATGTTGGAGAGTCAGTTTCTATGAAAGTCAGTCTCTCAGCGGGTCTGTCCAAACGTGCGGTCACTCCCGTGAGATGTGATGGCATAAAGAGGTGTAATTAACACTGAGGTACTTTAAACTATGCATTTTGCATTCGCCCTTTTTTTGCTGCAGTGCCAGCTGGTCTGGAGCGCCCCCCGATGGTGACCCTGTGCTGTACCCCCCCTTCACCATGGTCCTATCCACTGTGGTTCATTGTGTCCAGTGTTGCTGATTGGAGCTTGAAGGCCAGCGTAACTGTGACGATGACTCCGCAGATCATGAGGAAGGGCAGCCACGTCTTCAGGAAGCCGACAAAGCTGAGACACACAGAAAAGAGGAAAAGAACCTCGTATGTGAATAAAACACAGGGGAGACTATGGAAGTCCAGAGAGGCCATTAGGTAGTTAGGTAATAATTTTCTGGACTGTTATCTTGAGATAACGAGTTAATTGTCTTGTTATCTCAAGATAAAGTTGTTGTCTTGAGATCAGAAGACAATTAACTTGTTATCTCATGAGATATGTCAGCTGCACCATGAGTGATGTGCCACACTGGTGAGACTCCACCAGCCCGTGCCTCCTGCAGCACAGATGAACTGGTACAGTAATCACCATCAACACTGAACACGGAAACAGTAATACACAATGTGATAAGACTGATAATCCAGTAACAGCTCCAGTGTTTCCTTAAACTAATATATTTCCATGAATAAATGAGCCCTTATGACACCATATCACACGCATAGTTTCCTCTGAAGATCTATCAAGACCTTCGCTGGGGACGTTTCAGAACACCTTACTGACTCTTACTGCTGAGTTCCCATAATCCAGACCATAGAAACAGAATTATAACATGGGCTGATTGATAAACATCCATCTGAAGTACACCACTAATATACGGATCAGTAGGCTACACCTGTCTTTATAGTTACACTACACCTGTTTATTTGGTTACGCTACACCCATTTTCAGTTATACAACAGCCAATTCCATGGCTACGCTCTACCCATCTCCGTAGTTATCCTAAGCCCATTTCTATGGTTGCACAGCAGCCATTTCCTTGCTTCTATGGATACACTGCACCCAGTTCTATGGTTACACTACACCAGGGGTTGCAACCCAAACGTTAAGAAGAGCCATTTTGTCCCGTTTCAACAAAAATCTAACCACTTTGGGAGCCACATTTTATGTCCATCCTGGCTGTAAATCTGTCTCAGTGTGTGCTGATGTCCTAATATAGGCTAAAAAATATATTATAAGCTCAGCTATGGCTGCTTTTCTCACATCTCCAGCAGGAAACTTTTCCAAAAGTGGAACAGTTTCTTTTAAAATGTCTCTCAACGTTCGACTTTTTACGAGGCTGAAGTTGCTTCTCATTCGCCAGCTTCAAATTTTCTAGTTCCACCTTAAATGGTGCAGCAGGCTGGCGAATGAGAAACTGACTTCAGCTTCGCGACTTTTTAGTGTTTCAGTTTTTCGCTGCAGATTAAACGTATCAGGAAACCAGCTGGAGTGATTATAAACACTATTAAGTCCATTCATCTCCAAATTATCGATGTTCATCTTAAATCTCTCTCTTTGCCGTTTCGTTAGCTACTAGCTAGGCGAGACTGTTGTCTGTGTTGCTATGGTGACCAGCAGTCTGCGCTGATCTTCAGGGTTAAAGGGTGAATTAGCAGTTCTACATTAACTCCAGAGTTTAAGACCATTTATTGTTAAACTGTGTTGAACGATCAGCAGAGCTTTATTTTACTGTAAAGGACGATTGTTTTATTATTACCTGCAGATCTGATTCAGCTGTGGAGCCACAGGGCAGTAAAAGAGCCGCATGTTGCCGAACTGTGCACTACACCCATTTCCACGGTTACGCCATGGTTACCCTACACTCACTTCTAGAACCAATACTGTGCTTTTGCACTGTATAATATGTATTTACAATAATATGTATTTTTCACACGTGCAGTGCGCAAAAACCACGTTTCATTTACGTGACTTTTCTCTAAGGGTTAGCTGGTACGTCTGGGCTCACCTGACGTGTTTACTGTAGATGAAGGACAGCAAGCAGAGATTGACCATGTTCCACGAGGTGCTGTTGTCGTAGCGCATCAGGTTCAGCGCCATGGCGACATGAGAGTGGCAGTTATCGCAGCACAGGTTATGCTGAGGTGATGCAGGAAGAGGAGAGAAAGTCAGTTAAGGCAGCTCGGCTGGTGAACTCTGACACTACAGACGGATTAAATGAAAGTCAGCAGCGCTGCCAGGTGGGCAGGGAGGTTTCCTTTGTGTTTACCATTCTGTGCTTGTATTCTTCAGACGCGTCGTGCACTGCTGCGTCCCAGGCGCTGGAGCCTCCCGCGTACACTTTGTTTTTATCCAGCTTCCAGTACCTGAGAACCATAATAAACAGGATGTTGAGGTTTTTAAACAAACCTGCTTTATATTAAAGTACACATACTGCACTGATGCACCTTGAGGTCATGTTTACTTACTTTGTTGGTTTCCCAAACGCCATGTTGTCCTCCTGCACACAACACACAGGACAGAGATCAACGCATGTCAGCAGGACGTATCAAACACAGTAATGTCTGTATTATGATGCACACTTACAGATACAAAATAGGGCCCTGCGAAGTCTCGGATCACACCTGTGGAGGTGCAGATGCCCATGTGACCAATAAAGGGCAGGAACCACCTGCAGGAACACAGCAGTCACAAAACATCACGTCATTATCAGACAAGCACAGGTTACATAATCACACACAGTCTGATATGACTTGGTTAAAGGTACTAAACGTTACTAACTAACAAAGACATAATGAAGAGAAGCTTTACAGCATTTACACTTAATTAATCACTTATTAAATCAACCAACTGAATTCATTTGAACCGATCAACATACAACCTGAATGAGGCTTCCTATTCGACTTCCCCGTTCCACCTTAAATGGTGCAGCAGCTACAGTAACTGCTGCACCATTTAAGGTGGAACGGAAAAATAATAAAAGGCTGGCCAAACCTCAGCTTCATGAATTTGTTAGTTGGTCTTTAAACGATCTAAACTGACCAACTGTGGACGCTTTCGACGTTTATAAAGGACTTTATCACCTGGATCTGTGTTTTCATGCGGATACGCTGCTGACCACGACATTAAAACGGGTTTAAGGGACGAGTTTAGGGATTAAACTACTCACGTCAGGCCTGGGATTGGTGTCCAGACGATGCAGTACGGATATCTGCTCTGTTCTCTGTCTATTTTGTCGAAAGCGCCCTGAAAATTCTGATAATTCTTCATATTGTCCACCGCGGACACATCCGCCATCACAGTAAACAGTGACGCACAGCGGCGCTGCGCATGCGCACTCCTCAGTCTACTCCAGTGACGCGGCTGCATGCGAAGCACATTTTCACTGTTTATTATTCAAATACACACAATTTAACCATCAGCTTATCACCAAACACCTTGGGGGATAAAAGGGATGTGTTGGGGCAGGAAAACACAAGGAGCAGGACTGAGAAGCCCCTATAAACCCCTCACAATATGCTCCCCTTTAACATTAAAGGGCCCATATCACTGAAAACGTCCTCGCTTTCGTGAAGCAGGAGTGACGTAGCAAGTAAACACAGTTAAAGTTTAAAAGAAACGAGACATTCAGTTCATATATGGAAACTGAGCTGCAGAAACAGCCTGTTTTGAATTTAGTGTTTATGTGATGTCATAAGAACTCATTTACATATGTCCGCCTATACAGCCTACACAATTAAAAAGATGGTTCTTCAAGGATTCTTTAGTAAAGGGAATGGTTCTATTTAGAATACACAGAACCATCTGCATGCCCCAGCCTGATGGAGAATGAGACGTATATGGTTCTATACAGAACCTAAACGAGTACTTCTTTTGTTAAAAGCTTTACTTCGTAACAGAAGAAGAACGCTCTCATTTTCAAAGAGGTTCTGTATTAAACACATTCTTTATCAATCTGAGGAGCCATTCCACAATGCAGAGAACCATTTAAGCATGAAATTGTTCTATACAGAACTTGAGGGTCTACAGAGAACCATTCGTTTTACTAAAGATCCCCGTTTTTCATCCCGGACTGCTTTTTTTGAATGGACAGCCAATCAGAACAGAGCTCATTTACATATATAAGTCTTAAAGGTGCAGTCTGTTTAATTGTAAGAGATAAAGAGAGGTGGGGGGCTAAATAAAACCACACAAGTGGCTCTCAAGGTTAAAAATAGCACAACAATACTCTAGTACATGGTAGTAAATGGGCCCTTTAATGTAATAACAGTACCATACCTGCTTATGCCCACTGAAATAAGAGTGCAGGTACAAAAATAACAAGTTTACCCAAATCATTATGGCTGCAGTTGTCTTTTTTCTTTGCTTACTGTCTGGCGTCTTCAGCAGGACGCAGGTGCGCGCTGCAGGCAGCAGGACAGCGGCCCAGCGCTGCAGGACTGTGAGGATATTCCATTAAAAAAGGTGACATTTGCAGTCTCTGGGCGGACGGTCATGTGGGTCACCCTCTCCTGTAGCCCAGATAAGCCGGGGGCGGCTCATTAGCCAATGTGGGCCAGGTGGCACCTCCTGTCTGGCTCAGCAGCGCTGCACATAAATCACCGCAGGCCCTAAAACTACTATTCAGCACAACACAGACAGTGAGGAACGATCCGGAGACAGAGCTGCTCTTCTGACCAACTGTGGAGGCTGTGGAGGAGATTTCAGCCTGACTTGTAAGAAAATACTGTAACCGGTACTGATTTGAAGGATCTGAGAACCAGAAATACTGTCTGATATAATTTTATACAGTTAAAAGTGAATAAGACAGTGATTAGAGAGAGAGAGAGACTGATCTGATACCAGGTATCGGTATTGGACCAATATCAGCAGAAAACGCTGGATCGGATATCAGTGGGGAAAAAGAATAAATTCGTTTGAGCATGACAGGCTACTTTTAGATGATTTTAAAGAGGAATTCCACCTTTATTTCAAAATTAAGTTAATAATTAAGTGGTAAAGATGTGAACAAAGTTGGTTTGGCGTGAAACCCTTGGCCTACCAAGTCAGAACTGTTCACAGTGGTGGTGATAGGAACCAGACGTCCACCTCTAAAAGCTCCCTCACAGAAAGTTCCTACATGAAATGGTTATGAACTCACTGCCTGATGACTGAGACACTGTTTTATGATAGTTTAGAGAACTTAAACTCCATTCATGGTGGAGGGATACATGCAGGGCGCTGTGAGGCAAAATAGTCCCCAAAGAAAACTTATTATTTCAGATTTTCCACTATTTTCTCATCCAACATTACACATAAAAACTTGCATATTGGTTTTGGACGGTAAATAAAATGGCTATATTTGTGTTGTAAACATGGCGACCCCAATGGCACTGCAATCAAATCCTAACAGCAATGTTCCAACATCTAAATGTAAAGCCTTCTCAGAAGAGTAGAGGCTGTTACTGCAGCACAGACTCACTATTAACACCTTCATGTGAGAAGAAACACTGGAGGAATGGGTGTCCACATACTTTTGGACAGCGTAGTGATTAGGAAGTGGGTTCTGGTGGGAGGGAGGAACACGAAGAGAACATCAGTTTTAATCCTCGTTTATTCCTTTTTAAATTCTTTATGCAGCAAACTCAGTTACTGAATTCTCCAAAGAAAAATAAACAATGAGAAACAAGGACAGCCTCACCCAAATAAATACAAACGGCAGCCTAGTGTTAAAGGTCACAGTCCTTCAGTCCTGCGCTTCCCTCCAAACTGATTCGGAGTCTCCTAGCCTAGCTTTAGCGAAGCGATCGTGAGCAGAAAGGCAGTTTGAAAACGGCTTCATAACGTACAGCTAAAGCTCCTGAACAGTCGGGGCGATTACCATCACCTGCAGGAACCTGGTCGTCTGTGAAGGGCCACAAAGTGCTTATACTGGTGCTCAAAACACCACAACAACGACGACAACCAAGATTTCTCTTCTCCGTCCTTGGTTAACTGTCCTCTACAGACTCCGCCCACAAATATATTCTTTTATAGCTGCTGTTCTGAGGACAGATGAGCTTTACTGAATGCTGGTAAAAATCCCTTTAAACCTAATGAGAAACTGTAGAACATAAAATGAGCCTTATTCACTCTAAATGTAGGTATTGTGATATAAACTGAGTCTGTTCTACAGTTTCTCATTAGGCTGAATGAATAACTGACTCTAAATGTAGGTATTGTGATATAAACTGAGTCTGTTCTACAGTTTTTCATTAGGCTGAATGAATAACCGACTCTAAATGTAGGTATTGTGATATAAACTGAGTCTGTTCTACAGTTTCTCATTAGGCTGAATGAATAACTGACTCTAAATGTAGGTATTGTGATATAAACTGAGTCTGTTCTACAGTTTCTCATTAGGCTGAATGAATAACCGACTCTAAATGTAGGTATTGTGATAGAAACTGAGTTTCTCATTAGGTTTAATGGGATTTTTATCAGTGTTATGTAAAGTTTGTCCAGCCTCACAACAGCAGCTATGAAAGAACACGTTTGTGGGCGGAGCCTGGAGAGGACAAAAGATAAACAAACATGAAACAACACTGTAGATCTGCCATTATTAACTAATTTCCTCGCTGACTTAGTTTCGCTCTGTGTGTGGGTAGAATCAGCAGCTTGGCCTAATTTTCTGCAGTTTTATGCGACTGAGTCGGTTCTTTATTTGCTGTTTTAGCTCTGCGTGGCGTGTGGGGAGCGGTGTGGGGAGCGGTGTGGGGAGCTGTGTGGGGAGCTGTGTGGGGAGCTGTGTGGCAGCTGCTGCTTGTCTATTTCTGACGAGTCAGCACCTGTTGTGTGCTTAATTATGTAACTATTTCATCATAAATGAAAAGACAATAATCTGCATATACATCTCTGAACTCTGATAATGTATACCAAAAATAAACAAACATACAAAAAATCCCCGTAATAACTCAGACAATCTGACAGGTGAACATCAAACACTGATCACCAGAATCTCAAAAACGATTTTCAATCCCAGAATCTCCGTTCGGAAACATTCAGAAACACAACACTGCTCGGTTTCTCTGGGATGGGTTCGAAAGTGCTGCAGAAGAGTCCGATAAACAGAGTCTATCTTAAAGTAGCGCTTCAGCTGGCGTTTCCGCTGCATCTTTCCTCACGGCGGCAAAGCAAAACCTCCCGGCTTCGGAGCAGAGGAGCCTCAGTGTGCGACGGGGGGCGCCAGAGAGCAAGCCCTAAATCAGAAAATAACTGGAGCAAACAGCCCTGCAGAGAAAAACAATGAACCGGCGGCGGCACTGAGGAGCTGGCGGCTTTTCTGTCCGAGACGTTTCGCACAGGTGGAGGTTTAGGAGCTTTAAGTTCACTTTATCTCTGTGTTTTTCAGTGTGAAACTGCAGGAGCCTCTTTATTTTTGTGTGTCATACATGCACGTAATCATCAAGCCCTTCATGAGCTGATGAGGAAGGGAATAATGCTGTCTCGGCAAGTGGAAGCATCTTAAATGCATGGAAACTTGCTAATATTTCTCATTATGAGGTTGAAGATTATTTAACTCAATTACTTACTTTAAGTGAAAGTATCTTACTGCATTGGTATTACTCTGTAAGCATGTGAAGATTATATCACTTAAGATCTCTTAGAAGGAAAAATGTCTAGAAACAGGTTGAATAATCTTCCTATAATAGAATATAATGTAATAAGAGTCCAACAGCATCTCATCCTGAGAAATAAGAAAACCTCTGATCTCTGAAATGTATTCAGGAGAAGGAGAAACATCTGTCACTTTAATTTAATGCATGTCATTGTTAGACAGTTTTTTGGACTGTTTCTATACGTCAACTTAGCGTGAAATGTACTTTAAGGCAAATGTTTTCAAATAGTGCAAAAAAGCAAATAAAATGAAATGAGAGTTATGAGTTGTGTTTTCATGTGACAGCAGAAATAAACTGCATACGTTTAAGATGCTTTCGTTTGACATCAAATTATAATTCATTGCAGTGTGATGACAGGAGGCTCCCGGTTGAGATGCTTTATGTGACAAGAGAACTGTACTGTGTCCTTGTTGGGGGGGTCCAGTGTGTTGGGGGTGGGTTTCAGGCTCCTATCTTCATTGGCAAAAACCTCCTCACCAGCCTGCTGTTCTCCATTCCTGTCATAGGGGGCGCCGCGCAGCCACTAACCTTAGCTCAGCGCTGTGCTGGCTGTGAGGAGGCTGCTGAAGAAATTAAATATCTACGGTGCATTCGCCTCCTCACACACACACACACACACACACACACACACACACACACAGAGACACACTCACACACTCGCGCTGGGGGTTGGAGGGCGGTCCGTTCTAACTGGGCCGACACTGCACCTGCCCCTCAGTGCTGTCCTCGTCGTCGGACGCCTCCGGGCCGCGGCTGCTGAGGCCGGTGATGCGGTAGCCCATGTTCAGCAGCATCACCTCCAGAGGGTCCGCGTTCATCCGCCGCTGATTCGCCTGCGCCGCTCCCTCCATATCCTCCACCACACGGCCGTTATCGGTCTCCGTCTGTGACAAACACAGGAAATATTCAGAGGACAGAAGAAAGGCTGTGAGAGCGCCCCCTGCAGTTTGTGTTCAAAACGAAAGTTAACCATATTCAATTATATTTGACACTATTTTAATGTCCAAATTATTAATTAACAGTAAACGACAGAAATACAGCTTTTTAGAGTGTTTTCCCCTCAGATGCGTGGATGACATTGATATCACATCGCCAGCACTGCGTTGTGGGTTTTTTGTGGGTTAACTGTAAAATAATCCTATTGTAATAATAGTATTTGCACAACTGTACAAATGTTACATTTCTGCAAACATTCATATCATTCTGTATTAATCTGGATACCAGTTTTATGGTATATGTCATCAGACCTTCACATGTACAGGTACTTTTATCTGTATGTGTACTGATATTCACACTTCTCTTCAGCTCCTCTTTATTCTATTTGTTGTATTTCTATTGTATTTGTCTCTTATTTAAATACTTGTTAACAGTCTGTTTGTTTGTCTGGTCTGTTCAGTGTATTGTCATACATGTGTGACTCACCAACACAAATTCTTTGAATGTGTAGCATTCTTGACGAAATCAAGTAATTCTGATTCTGCTTTATAGCTCTATTGCTCAATTCTATACCCTGCTATTATGTATGTATTCATAGCTACTGTCCTTGAATTAAACATTTCTCTATGGAAAAATGAATGGAAATTCAAAATAAAATAAAAATGGTGCAGTTCTGCACTTTCCCTGCCCGTACTGGGTGGACAGTTTGAGTGTCCATTAAAGCTACATGCTGCAACAGTCCGAGCAATTTACACGTCATGGAAGCTCATACCCCACCAGTTAGCATGGTGCTAACTGCAGGCGTAAATCATCACGTCCACCTAAAAGCGTCTGGAGTTGTTCAATTAATCTCTAATTTGATTATGTGGTTTCTGACACTGTATGACTCACATTTGTCTGTAAACATGGACAAAAATGAGTCTGAATTTTGGCCAAACAAGCCTTTGCTGATCGACTACGTCTGAAGTAAAAGAAGAAATTGAATTAAATTACATTTCATTTTGCCTAAAATATCACTTCAAGCCTTTTTTACACCATAATAGCAGGTTCGTGTTTATTCCTGAAGACTTTAATAGGCTCTAAGACCACAGAGCAGCTTTCCAGCCTTAAGTACCACTTATCACTGCCACCGCGTGAGGAATCTAACCCCAAGATTCCTCACACATGGTGGCAGTGATAAGTGGTACTTAAGGCTGGACTCTACATTGTTGTTTGATTCTCATATTACCTCTGTCTGTAAATCCTCTTTTAACCACCTACATAACGTAGCGAGACTCAGGACTCTCTGACCCGCTGTGATGCTGAGAAGCTGATTCGTGCGTTTGTGACCTCAAGGTTAGATCACTGTTATGCCCTCTTGGCTCGACTTCCAAATAAGAGGGTACAGAGACTGCAGTAAGCTCAGAATTGAGCTGCACATATTTTAACCTAAACTAGAACATTTCCTCACATCACCCCTATTTTAAAGTCTTTGCACTGGTTACCCATTAGAGACAGAATTGATTTACAAATTTTACTTTTGGTTTATAAACGTTTACATGCCCGAGCTCCAGTACATTTGCAGGATCTTTTAGTTCCTCAGACTCTACAGTTCTGCTGAGGTCTGGATGCTCAAATCTGCTGGTAGTTCCACGTTCTAAGTTCTGCTCTGTGGGGGAGCGAGCTTTTAGTGTATTGGGTCAATGATTATAGATCGAGCTTCCCGAGTCTCTAAGAAATCCTGGATCTTTATCTCATTTTAAAAAGAATTTTAAGACTTTTCTTTTTAGACCTGTTTTATGAATTCGTTTTTGGGTCGTTTTAGAAACTCTAGATCTTTTAATCTCAAGTGTTTTATGGATTTTTGTTCTGTTCTAAGATATCCTGGATCTTTTGAAGTAGAATTTTAAAACTCCTCTTTTATTTTGAGTTGGCGTTGTCATGAAAAGTGTGTTATTTCATTATTGCATTATGTGTGCACCTTCAACGATCACCATCAACATGTATATATACCCAGCAATCACACTGAGACGGCGGTTCAGGTATGAGAATCATACAGGGCTGGTTTAAACATGTCTGTGTATCAGTGAAGCTGATCTGACCTCTGGTCTCGGGTTCCAGAGCCGCACCACGGGGTCGATGCCGCTGGTGGCGAGGAAGCAGTAGCTGGGGTGTGGCTGCAGGCAGTTCACTATGGACTCATCTCCCTGCAGGATCCGCACCAGGTTCGTCGTTTCCTTCTCCCAGATAAAGAAAGAGCCGTCGTCCGAGCCGCTGACGATGTACTGGCCTTTACTGCACACACAGACAGAACGTCACATCACCACCTTCATCACCAGCCCATCACTTATCACTGCACTGTGCAGCTGTTATAGGTTTTACTGTCACTTACACAGTTAATACAGTCAGCAGAGCATCACACACCAAAGACCTTAATGTATGCCTGCGTCTGTAATGTGTGTTATACATACTGGGGGCTGTTATCCTTTATTTTCTTTTAGAATTATTTTTTTATTTTTATTTTTATTTTTTAGAAATTTGTGAATGCAAACATACATGCATTCGTGAGCTCCTGCTGGTGTGGGCTTCCTCTCGCTCAACGATACACAAAAATACAAATAGGGCCAATAGTGCCCCCTTGTGGGTAATCTGAATTACTGTGGAGAAAATGTGAATTTCACAAAATAAACTTTAAAATTCAAACCTTTTACATGCTGCTTCTGTTTCAACACAGTTACAGTTACAGACAGTTCTGCTGGGAATATTATATCTATATTTTAGATCTCAGTGCAACAACACACAATAACAATTAATAAAATACAATAATTCATAATGAATACTAAAATAAAATGGGATTAATACATTTCAAAGGTTTTACATGGTTTTGCGGCACAACATTTGTAGCTTCTTAAGTCTCACTGTTATCTATAAACACGAAAAAAAATTGTCTGAATTTTGGCCACACAGAACCGTATGTTAGTAAAAGTGCTAAACAATTAATAGGCAAACTTCATGCCTTTGTTGATCGATTACATTTGGAGTAAGAGAAGAAACTGAATTAAATCATATTTAATTTTGGTTAAAATGTATTTTTTTACACCATTATGGTATGGTTATGTTTATTTCTGAAGACAGTTGTTGTTATATGCCCTAAGAGCACAGAGCAGCTTTACAATGATCTAATTCCTTTCCTATAATCTCAGCATCCAACTTTTATGGTCACCATCAACACGTATATATAAACCTTTCACATGCTGCTTATATTTTAATACTCACTGCATTTCAGCATTACTACTTAAAAATTCAGGTACAGCTCTGCTCAGCTTTGTGCTCTTTCACGTTACTCACATTCATTTACATTATACTGTCTGTCTCCTACCATCTTTTCACTATGTATTTATTTCTATTTGTTGCTGGGCTTTAAGCTCAGTTGTGCACTGTTAATGATCTGCTGTTTACTTAATTAGTGTAATGTACGGCTCTGTATACTGTATATATGGATGGCAAAGTTTATCTTGATGCAATAATCTCCAGAGAAGCAACGTTAATAATGTAATAAAAATAATAAATGAACTTCAGCTGAAATCCTATCTTTGAGCACAGACCTCCCAAAGAAGTTGGCCTCTTTAATGTCGGTGGTGGTGTTGCAGTGGCCGCAATAGCGATGCTTATAGTCGAAGCTCCGCTCTCTCAGGATGATCTCGTCCTCAGGGATGGACTCTTTCCGGCTGAAGTTGTGGAAGCGGATCGAGCTGTTTCCTTTCTTCTCGTCAGCTGCACAACAAAAATAAAAAAATAATTAACAGGCTTGTAAAACAACACACTTAGAAACAAATCTTCACTGTTTAGGAAAATGTTGCATTTTAAAAAACAGTAACAGAAATAAAGTTTATAACCTCATTATGGTCCTTTTCTTCAAACAAACATGAAAAAAATCACTAGTAGTGCTGACGTCTCAGTAGCTAAACATCCCGTTCCACCTTAAATAGTACTGCAGTCACATTCTGGTGCCTCAGGCTTCAGAACTGCTGCTCCATTTAAGGTGAAACAGGAAAATTCAAACGAGAATCTGGTGAATATCTGACTTCAGCTTCATATCACTGAAGAATTAGGGGTGGTGATAATAAATAATTGCCCCCCTCTTTGAAGATCATATGATGCCCTAAATGTAACTAAAGCCCAGCAGTGAGGAGCTGAACTTTACCCTCCTCTGCTGTCACTGCAGACTGGCAGGGTCGCCTACAGAGCAGCGCTGGTAGCTGTTAATGAAGTGATGCTCTTTTTATTTGAGGGTCCCATTTCAGAGGGAAGATTTCAACCACTACCCTGTAACTCAGTTCCAAGGGGTGACACTCGAAAACAAGGGGTAGGGGTGAAGATAAGAAAAGCGAATGGGCCCAAGAGAGTTGACGCTCTAAAGTGAAATATAAGTTCTTACCAGAGTCCGTTTTGGAGAATAAAGCCGCTTTAATGTCTTTGTCCAGGGCGTTGCAGGCGCTGCTGTGGGCCTGCTCAGGGAATTTACCCTTAAAATCATCCAGACATTCCAGAGCCTCCGCCACATACTTCAGCTCAAACAGGCAGCGCGCCAGCCGGAAATGAGCCTTCAGATGACCAGGGTTCAGAGACAGAGCCTTCAGACAGTCCCTCAGAGCGTCATAATGATCTCCATCCCTACAGCAACGGCACAAAGAGTTGATATAAAACTGTATCTGAAATACAAAAATGTCTTTAAGGCAAATGGAATTTGACTGACATTAATATTACTCTGTTAACAAATGGCATTTTTATATTCATTCATTTTTTTTCTCCTTCATTTGTGCTGCTAAGTGAGCCGTACGAAACCTGAGCACCTGCGCAGAATTTGGTCACCCTTCTTGATGATGTACCGAGCACTGTGCAGACCACTGATGGGTCAGATGCAATCATCACAGAATCGTCATTTTTAAAAACATTCACTAGCCAGAATCTCTACCTGTGATTCTTCACAGAAAACCCAATGCAGTAACAGGCGAATCAGAACCAGAAGCTGCTCCAATTTTGATGCTGTTGTTTTTGTTTATTTTTAAAGTCTAGCAGCACATGGGAAATCATGTGACCACACAACCTCCACAGAACCCCAGATGCTTACAACTGTTTTGTTATGCAAAAGGACAAACAGTCCACAATTTTCCTCAGTTCTGTGTGGATGGTTTGGGGGCTCTGAGGACCACTGACATAAGGAACTTAAGGAGGGAACGCTGAAGGGAGGGGCTGTATTTATTTGGGGTGGGGCTTTAGAAGAAACACTGAAGGGAGGGGCTGTATTTATTTGGGGTGGGGCTTTAGAAGAAACACTGAAGGGAGGGGCTGTATTTATTTGGGGTGGGGCTTTAGAAGAAACACTGAAGGGAGGGACTGGAGCTGTATTTGTTTGGATGCTGGGTTTCAAAACAGCTAGCTGCAGCTAACTTCTGCCAAAATAGACGAATATGCCTTTAGAACACGTACCACTTGCGCTTCATGTACGCGGCCGCCCGGTTGCCATACAGCATGGCGTTGTGTCCAGCTGCATGGATGCCCAGGCTGTACAGCTGGATGGCCTGAGTCCACTGCTGCCGCGCAAACGCATCATTAGCCTGCTGCTTAATCCGCTCCAGGTGAGGGGGCAGCTCAGTGGAACTACTAGAGAGAGAGAGAGAGAGAGCAAGAGAGAGAGAGACAGAGAGCACGAGGGAGAGGGAGAGCGAGAGAGAGAGAGAGAGAGAGAGAGAGACAGAGAGAGAGAGAGAGAGAGAGAGAGAGAGAGAGAGATGTAGGATGGGGAGATGTGAGTGATGATAAATGTGATTTATTTGGCCATGGGAAAAATCAAGTTCATGGCGCTCTTGGATCTACCTGGACGCCTTGCTGTTGGCTAGTTTGAGGCGGCTGGTGGACAGATGGATTCCATTGGCCATTCCGTTAGTGGTCTTCCCGTTCTGCACCTCTGAAGGAGCATTGAGAAAGCATTAAAGAGAACAGAAATGATCCAGAACGCACCTGCAGAACCTCATACAGTGTTTGGATGGCAGTACCTGATGAAGGATGGCACTTCTTGGGCAGCAGAAATGTGTACGGCCTCTGTTTGAACGTCAAATCAAACAGATACACCTGCAGACCGAAGAGCAGAGCGTTACTCTGTAGTACAGACAGCACAGCATACAGCACAAAGTAAACTGCTAATGGTTCTAACGGTCTTTTTTCAGCAGGGTTTTCTTGAGTTCAGCAGTAGCCTGACGTCTTGTCATTGTGGTAGGTTTTATTTTGTATATTATCATATTTAGATCCACTATTATTAGTATGACAAAGGTAATATCCATTCAGTGTAACTCATGTAGCCCTATAGTACGTAGTTCGCTGTTTCTGCTGATCAAACTGACAAAACACAGTCGTGGACGACTGTGAACTAACGTCATAAACAGGTTAGAGCTGCATGTCAGGCCGCGAGTGCATCATTCATAAATGAATTGGTTCTTCTGACATCACAGATACAATGAATTCAAATTAAGACTGTTTTTGCAACTAAACCCTCATATTTAAAAAAAATTGAAGAAAATGATTTTTTCCAAGATATGGGCCCTTTAATTAATATTCTATTAACCGTGGGACGCACTTGGTTGTGTTTGACAAAAGCAATCTAGAGAAATGATTTAAATATCAAATGTACAGCAAAAGCTTTATTGAATGTCAAATAGTGTGTAAGTACATACAAGTATGACCTCTCCTGACTTCTGCACAGCAAATATCCAAATAATAATCATAACCTTTGAACACTGGCACCCAGAACAGAGCACAGAGTGCTGCAGCGAAGCTATGGACTGGACTACACCTCAGTGCCTCTGTGCTGTGGAATCTGCCCTGCAGTAAACAGAGCTGAACGAACTTCCCCACCTGCTCTCCGCCCATGTTCACCAGCAGCTCTGTCCCGTCTGGACTGAAGGTGACGTAGGTGGCCACCAGCACCCTCAACCGGTTATTATAGTCTGGAAGTTTCACTGGCAGGTGACCTGCAGAGAGACAGAGGTAATACTGTAATACTATAACACTGACCAGTGGAGGGGAATTCCACCATGATTCAAATTTCCTGCATAATTAAGTGGTTAAGATGTAAACAGAGCTGTTCAGAGCGGTTTGGTGTGAAACGCTCTGTTCTAGATAAACTTACCGAGTCAGAACTGTTCACAGTGGTGGTGATAGGAACCAGACGTCCACCTCTAAAAGCTCCCTCACAGAAAGTTCCTACATGAAATGGTTATGAATTCACTGCCTGATGACTGAGACACTGTTTTATGATAGTTTAGAGAACTTAAACTCCATTCATGGTGGAGGGATACATGCAGGGCGCTGTGAGGCAAAATAGTCCCCAAAGAAAACTTATTATTTCAGATTTTCCACTGTTTTCCATCATCAACATTCCATATAAACTCAGAAGACTCGTGTAGGTTCACTGGTGGTTCTGGATAGTAAATAAAATGTCTATATCTGTGTTGTAGTCATGACGACCCCTGGTTCCTATCACCACCACTGTAGTTAATGACTGTATTCTTAATAAAATTTGTCAAAATTGCTGGAATTCCCCAAACAAATTCTGGCATGTCTGAAAGCCAGATGTGACCGCAGCCCTGTCCACTGCGTACCTGCCACATAGTACTGCCCTGCTCCATCTGGGATGGGTTTCTGTTTATCGCAGAACGTGTGCACTCCAGCAGACATGCTCTGACTCAGAGATTTCCTGAGGAACAGCAGAACAGCATCAGCTTCAGAACAGACATTCGTTCTAATCGAACGTTCAACTCATCTATACAGCACTGTAAAGAGTCATTATCTCCTAATGAGCAAGATGAAGCTCCACTCTTAAAATAAAGGGTTCTTTGGAGTGGTACGATGGAAGAACCACTCTGGGTTCCCTTAAGTCCTTTCAATGCATGGTTCTTTAGAAAAAAAAAAGTGCAAAAGTGTGAGGAACTTGTAGAGCCGTAAAGGAAAGTTACTTTTCAAAATAAAAGCTCACAGCAGAACGCTAAAATTAAAAATGTAAATTAAAATTAAAAGTCTCTGACAGAGAAGACCACCTCAGCGAGCCCCTCAGGATGAGTTTTCCTGTGACAGTGGAAGAACGTACCTGTGGTTGTGGATCATTCGGATGTCGTAGAGCCGGACGAACGGACCGTTCGCTCCCACCGCCAGGTAGTTGTTGTCCCGCGGGTTAACGGCCAGACACTTCGCCTCCACCAGCTGACCACAGTACTCGGTCAGATCGATCAGTACCTCCGAGCGCTTACTGCTCTCTCTCAGATCGTACTGCCTGTGAAAAACGACAAAATGATCCTCCATCAGCTCCTCACTCACTTCTCAACGTCTAACAGCACATTTCTTCGGATTTCTCAGTCTGAGCATGAGCGAAAACAGACAAGCGAGCATTTCGATACACAGCAACACACTTTTGGAGCGACGCTGAAACCAAATACACGTTTGAGGAAATGAAGGATTTAAATATTCTTCACCTTCTAGATGATGTATGTTCATATTTTCAGGTGAAGTGTCCAGCCGTCCTTAGTCATAATGAAGCAGTATACATCACATAATATCATAATATTTAGAATCTTTGACTTTTAATGTGGCACTGCTGGTGCATTTTTCTGTTCTTATCAAACTGATCAGACATCTTAATACTTATCATGTATGGTGGAAACGTCGAAGTAAGGTGACGCTAAATTTTTTACATATTGTCCACCCCTAAATAATAATAACATTAATAACAATAACAATAACAAAAACAATAATAGCTATTCAGAAACATCATACACAAAATCAAGAAAGAAAAAACAAAAAAGAAACAAAAATATGACAATGTCAACAGCAGTGAGGAGGAGGATGAAAGTACTGTGGAAAAAAGCCAGTTTTAAGCTGAGCTTTGAAGAGATTAAAGAGACGTCTGCAGTTTAGAGGTCAAAACATGTTCATGTTAGGAAATATTTAATATTTTATCCATGTTTGTGTTTAAATAATAGTAGAGAAGCGTTACTGTTTATTATTTCACTGTATTAAATAATATTTCTTTCTGTTATTATCACCACACTCACTTACTGTTGGTGCTTTATCAGGTTTCAAAAGGTCTCACTGTTACAGCAAACATTTAAATAAAGAGCTGCTGTTAATCAGTAACAACTGCTCCTCAGCCACAACATCTGGATCAGCACAAAAAGGGACATACATGAGAAAGTTTGGGCTAAATGTGGCCGAGAATGTAAGTAAGGTGGCAACAAACTGAGCATGAAATTATAAACCAAACGCCTCATGAAAGTGGAGCTCAAAGTCAGGGTGCACCTGTGATGTAGATGATCATTTAAATCTCAGCAGCGAATCAACTCAAATCAAATCTACATCAATTTCAAACACTCACTAAAGCTGCATTCATATTACAAGCTTTATTGCTCAAATCCGATGTTTTGCTCAGATCTGATCTCTCTAACATGATGGTTCACACTCGTTTAGGTAAGAGACTCAGATCTGTCCTTAATGTGAACCGGCGTCCTGAAACGACCCGCATGAGCTCATCATAATCAGTAACGTCACATGAATGAATCGAGTCATGAACAGCAAACAAACGAGCAGGACAAGCCTTCACTGCAAATATAATCAGCTCTGAACAGGTGAAAAGGGTCAGATGTGATGCTTGTGAAAAAAAACAACAACATATGTATTCCAATCTGAGATTCTCATTAAGGTCTGATCTAGGACCACATACGAAAGTGGCTCAGGTCAGATTAGAAAATATCCGATGCGTGTCCACACAGCCCTGAAAACATCAGATCTGTTCACATTACTGGAAAAAATCAGATTTGTGCCTCTTCAGCCTGGAAATGTGAACGTAGCCTAGTGGAAGCTGACTGTCTTGGTTGCTGATAGTGATGATTGATAAATCGCTGCTATCGGAAAAAGACCTCGTATCTCCATTTTTGTCATTTTTTACTTTTATTGCTTTTACAGAATTTGAAAACGCCAGCTGACTGTTACAATGCGCCAAAATTTCATGATGAACAGACCAACAGAAAAGCTCCAAAAGTGGCTGGAAAAAATCTAGCTCCATTAACTTCTATTCAAAATTAAAGTTCTTCTTCGGCTGTAAATTAACATTTTGGAGATACGAGGTTTTGTTCCGACAGCGGTGACATATTAACAATTTTTGTCTGCCATCTGGAAGCTACAGAGGAAATCTGATTATGAGAAAATGAAAATTAGTCCGCAAAAATTAAAGACTAAGTGTTGAATAATGACTGTGAGCTGCTGCTTTGCTGTGTTTGCGGGGTTAGGAGGGACTCCTCTCTCAGACACCCCCCCACCCCTCTGTACTGAATCTAAGAACTCGTCAGATCTACATGATTCGTGTGAACGACCTATTCAACATTCAGAATAATGAACTGTGCTGAAAGGTGACGAGTTTGTGTGTGTGAGGGAGTGAAAAGGTGTTAAAAAGTGAGCGTGTCTGGCTCGAGTGTCCTCTGTAGGCAGAGTGACCATCAGACCTGCAGAGTCTGAGTGCGTCCACTCATCAGTCACTGCTCAGTGTGTGTGTGTCTCCTGAGGGGAACACTGACTGTATCCAGCCCACACACACACACACACACACACACACACTGAGCAGTGAAGGGCGAACGCGGCTGGGCAGATGGATTAACCCGGAGGAGAAAGACTCCCCTCACTGAAGGTGCTCTGACACCTTAACCTCCTGTTTCAAGATAGTGTTAAAGGGCCCGAATCATGTAAAAATAGAATTTTCCTCTTTTTTATTTAAAAAGAAAGAGTCTGATGTGGTTTGTAAGTGCTGTCAAACATAGCGGCCACTCTTTAGTCTATACAGTCCATCTATGGAAACTGAGCTGCAGAAACAGCCTGCTTTGAATTAATCTCTTTTTTATGTCACAAAAATGAGAATATTAACATGAACCATCCTATTCACAGCACAGTCCACTGGTGCTGAAACTATCAGGCCAGAAAAAGATTCAACACAAGTATGCGAACGCAAATTACAGCGCTCAGCCAGCGCATTGCAAACGCTCGGTCCTTCTGTGCGTTACCGTGGCAGTTAAAACACTCAGTGCTGAAGGGGGCGCTAGAGGACGAATCAGAGTGGATCTACTGTTATTCCAACAGCCTCAGCAGCTGAACGTGGACAGTAGAGGAGGGTGAGCTGCTTCAGCTCTTCTACTGGACTGAAAAGGCCATGATGGATCATATGTTTATGTTTCCGTAAGCCGACTCTGTGAGAGACACAGCTGCTCGTCTGTTACAGCAGGTGAGAAACACGCTGGCCGTACGAGACCGTTCGGACAGGCTTGGCTGTGGTTATAGCGCCCCCTGGTGTAACGCTCAGAATGCAGCTTGCGCTTGCTTTGCGTTATGAAATGCATTTTTGAACGCAATCCCATCTGCGCAGCTTGAAGCGTTTGCGTTCGTGTCCTTGCATGAAGTATGTTTTGGGCTGAAGGAGTGTTTTAGCATTGACTGATTTTCGTTTGAAACAAAAAAATAAGGCAGCCAATCAGAACAGAGCTCATTTACATACAGCAGTCTTAAAGGCACAGACCTGTTCGATTGTATGGGAGATTAAACGCGGTCATTTAAAAATTAGTTTCTGGTACATAAACCAAGACAAATATTAGAAGTGAATTGCAGGATCTGGGTCCTTTAAATGGATAAAAAGTGGACTTTTATTTTATCTGGACTATTTCACCTCTTACTGGTCTAAATCTGAACACTTGGCAGGGACGCTAATTCTGGACAGACATCTGACTCAACAGTGTGAGAGAACACTGAGCTGAAGCTGTCGGAGACGTAAATAACAGAATTAAAGTGAAGTGTTTCTGTCGGCCTACCTGATGACGCCGTCCTCCGCCGCACTCCAGAACGTGTTTGGCCACATGGGAGCGGTAGCGATGCGTTTGACCCGGTTAGTGTGATCAGAGAACATGTGGATGGTCTCCTTGGCTGTCAGGTCGTGGACGTGCACTTTGGTATCTGCAGCTCCGGTTACCAATATCCGATCTCCGGAGTGCGGCAGGAACTGCAAAATCACACACAATAGAGAGTTACAGAAGCTTTTCACTACAGAATTACAGCAATAACATCACTGTACTTTCACAATTAAGGTCAGTGAGACAGATTAGACGTGCCATAGAATGGAAAAGTGTATTTACATTGGCACAGTTGATTAAGCAGAGTTCGGGACCTGGAACCTCAAACTCCGCATACGCAAACCAGGCAGCAAAACAGGCCAATTTCAAAATAGTAATCTGTTACGTAACAGTTTAGATTGAATAATTTTCACGACCGCAAAATTTACATACCCCAGCCCACGTTCTAGCCCAGCGGAACAACGACCACAGAGCAGCAGCAATGAAAATGTCAGACTGTGTGCAGAAATGCAGCTCCAGGCTGTGAAGGAACGTCTGCAGTTTTCATTCCCTTCACAAGAACCGAACTGAAAGGCTGATGATCATCTTTAATCCAGGGTGAAGGGCTTCCTGTTCAGCTTCTTAATCAAAAGTTCAGTTCCACCTTAAATGCTACAGCTTGTACAGAATGTAATTGCATCACCTTTTAAGGTGGAACAAAAAATTCTCAAACCAAGCTGGTGAACAGGAACTTCAGCTCCCACATCTCTAACAGGATCCCGACAGCTTTAACTCAGAGCTGTTAGTTTCTCTGCTCATTTCACTCCGGACAGTTTCTCAGAGCAGCTTCGCTCAGCGTTTGACCCAGAAGAGACGGAGATACAGCTCCACCTTTATTAGCACCACAACCCCAACAGCAGCCTGTAAGCAGCCCTGCTGAGAGACTTTATCAGCTTTATAATAGTTGAAGCAGATCATCTCAAACTGAGAGCTTCATAGTAAAATAACAGCTTTAATTTACTTTGTGTTGTCGAGATCGAGTAGCTAGTGTTGCTAACGTTAGCAACTAGCAGGCTGCAAGTAACAAGCATAGCTAACTAAACAGTATGAGGAGCTGATTTACACAGAGATTCGTTTTATTTTCCTGCTATTTCCGTCTATTTCGACATGTTGCTTCTGTGTGAGCCATCGCTGAGCCTCACTGTAAACCAGCCAATCAGAGTAGAGCTCATCAGATTATTTATGAGCCCCCAAAAAAGGGAAAACAGCTCGCTTCATTCTAGGGCCGAATCACAGGGCTGTAAATGGGCGTGTAAAACCACCTCTGAGCATTTTTCACACTGATCAAAGTCACGCCTTCTATAAAGACACAGAACAATTAAAAAATCTGAATAAACGCATTTTACGGCACCTTTAAGAAAACAATGGCATGAACAGACTGTGAGAAATAAAGTAGCGCACTTTAAACCGGAATTAAACTTTTCCACTTTCAAAAAAATAAATAAATAAATAAGAAAAAACACATACTTAATACACTCAATGTCTGTTTCTGATCATGTTATCAGTTTAAAGGTCCTGTATCAAGAAAAATCACTTTAATTGAAAGAACTTGATGTAGTAACTAATCTGCAAAAACAGCCCACTGTTTTGTGATGTCACTAAAACCAACACGATTACATTTACCTGCCCATTCAACCTGTACAACAGTTTAGCCCCGCCCATTTCAACCCTGGACTAAACAGTACTGTCAACTGTGTTTCACCATTTAACATCCCATTTAGTCTGGGTTTAGGCTGGGACAGTGAAATTGGCTTTTAAAGTTTCAATTCAAACTGCTTTCGAATGAGGCGCAATACAGGGCAGCCAATCTGGACAGAGGTCATTTACATATATCAGACTTATAGACACAGTAACACAATCAGCCTGTTTAACTGGAAAGGATAAAGAGAGGTTGAAAAATTGTCATGTAGAAATGAATTAGACCCAACTCCATTTCTTATCTTCACCCCCACCCCTTGTTTTTGAGTGTTGCCCCTTGGAACTGAGTTACAGGGTAGTGGTTGAAATCTTCCCTCTGAAATGGGACCCTCAAATAAAAAGAGCATCACTTCATTAACAGCTACCAGCGCTGCTCTGTAGGCGACCCTGCCAGTCTGCAGTGACAGCAGAGGAGGGTAAAGTTCAGCTCCTTACTGCTGGGCTTTAGTTACATTTAGGGCATCATATGATCTTCAAAGAGGGGGGCAATTATTTATTATCACCCACCCCTAATTCTTCAGTGATATGAAGCTGAAGTTGGATATTCACCAGCTTCTCGTTTGAATTTTCTCATTTAAAAAAACATTTAAGGTGGAACAGGAAATTTAGCCAGCTAGCTACTGAGACATCAGCTGCTACTACTAGTGGTTTTTAATGCTTGTTATGAGGAAAAGGACCATAATACACTGAAACAACATTAAACTAAGATAATACAATAATTATCACTTTTTTAACAGAGAAAATTCTCACGTTTGTGGGTTTCTTTGGTCTCTTGTTCTCCATTTTGCTGGTTTTTCTTTTTTCTCATAACTCTCTGTTTGGAGTCTCTGAAAAACCTCCGTTTGGAGGGTCATGTAGCCCCAACACTTCACCCTCCCCCTCTATCTCAACAAGAATCGGGACACCCTACCGCTAGGCAAGAACACGCAAAACGGAGGGGTAGGGCTGAGTGGTAGGGGTGAGGGGTGAAATGGGACTGGGCCTTAAAGGAATACAAATGTTATAAAAGGAACTTACAGAAAAAAAACAGGAAAAGCTGAGGGTATAATCCCTTTAAAATCCTGATTATAAAGCTGTTAAAAACAAAAAAAACTTATATAGTATTGGGACTGATTCTATCCATCTGACAGCACAGGAATGAACACTTTGTAATAGACAGGACGACCTCAGGCGCAGGACACACTGATCTTCTTTTTATTTTGGACCTTGCCTCACTACCAGATTTTGTTTTGGCCCACTGCTCTGGCCTGTTTGGCTGCTGCTGCTACAGATGTTACATAAAGGCAAAGGAATGAAGTCCATCCCAATAAATCAGTGCCATTACACACAGGAGATCAGCGTGGTGGGCTTGACTGTACCTTCACTGAGAAGATGTTAGCTGCATGGCCCGTGTGCATAGTAATGAGCTTCTTGTGCCTGAGGGGGTCCCACACTATGGCATGCTGGTCATCAGAGCCAGAGGCCAGCAGGCTGGAATGAACAGGACACAGAGGAAAATGAAAAACTGCATTTAGGAAAGACCAGGGGGTTCAAGCCTAAGATCTCGTCTAAGAGCAAGCACAGAAAGCGACAACCAAACAATAATGCTCCTATTAAAATCAACAAAGCATCTACACCAGTTTCATAGCAGATACTCATCCTAGAAGTAATCAATAAAGTCTATTCACAAGTCTATACTGAAACAGACAAATATACAATATTAATACACAGACAGGTCCAATACGTAAATAAAGAGTCACACCAACGTCTGCAAGTGGGGCTAAACTGCTGTGGGCTGAATGGGCGGGGCTAAACTGCTGTGGGCTGAATGGGCGGGGCTAAACTGCTGTAGCTGAAAGGGCGGGGCTAAACTGCTGTAGCTGAATGGTGGAGCTAAACTGCTGTAGACTGAATGCTGGGAGCTACACTGCTGTAGCTGAAGTGCGGGGCTAAACTGCTGTAGCTGAAAGGGCGGGGCTAACTGCTGTAGCTGAAAGGGGGGGCTAAACTGCTGTAGCTGAAAGGGCGGGGCTAAACTGCTGTAGCTGAATGGTGGGGCTAAACTGCTGTAGCTGAATGGTGGAGCTAAACTGCTGTAGCTGAATGGGTGGAGCTAAACTGCTGTAGCTGAAAGGGCGGGGCTAAACTGCTGTAGCTGAAAGGGCGGGGCTAAACTGCTGTAGCTGAAAGGGCGGGGCTAAACTGCTGTAGCTGAATGGTGGAGCTAAACTGCTGTAGACTGAATGCTGGAGCTACACTGCTGTAGCTGAAAGGGCGGGGCTAAACTGCTGTAGCTGAAAGGGCGGGGCTAAACTGCTGTAGCTGAATGGTGGGGCTAAACTGCTGTAGCTGAATGGTGGAGCTAAACTGCTGTAGCTGAATGGGTGGAGCTAAACTGCTGTAGCTGAAAGGGCGGGGCTAAACTGCTGTAGCTGAAAGGGCGGGGCTAAACTGCTGTAGCTGAAAGGGCGGGGCTAAACTGCTGTAGCTGAAGGGTGGGGCTAAACTGCTGTAGCTGAATGGTGGAGCTAAACTGCTGTAGCTGAATGGTGGAGCTAAACTGCTGTAGCTGAATGGTGGAGCTAAACTGCTGTAGCTGAATGGTGGGAGAGCTAAACTGCTGTAGCTGAATGGGTGGGGCTAACTGCTGTACTGAATGGTGGAGCTAAACTGCTGTAGCTGAATGGGTGGGGCTAAACTGCTGTAGCTGAATGGTGGAGCTAAACTGCTGTAGCTGAATGGTGGGGCTAAACTGCTGTAGGCTGAATGGGCGGGGCTAAACTGCTGTAGCTGAAAGGGCGGGGCTAAACTGCTGTAGCTGAAAGGGCGGGGCTAAACTGCTGTAGCTGAAAGGGCGGGGCTAAACTGCTGTAGCTGAAAGGGCGGGGCTAAACGTGTAGCTGAAAGCTAAAAGCGTAACTGCTGTAGCTGAATGGTGGGGCTAAACTGCTGTAGCTGAATGGTGGGGCTAAACTGCTGTAGCTGAATGGTGGGGCTAAACTGCTGTAGCTGAATGGTGGAGCTAAACTGCTGTAGCTGAATGGTGGGGCTAAACTGCTGTAGCTGAATGGTGGAGCTAAACGCTGTAGCTGAATGGTGGAGCTAAACGCTGTAGCTGAATGGTGGAGCTAAACTGCTGTAGCTGAAAGGGCGGGAGCTAAACTGCTGTAGCTGAATGGTGGGGCTAAACTGCTGTAGACTGAATGGTGGGGCTAAACTGCTGTGGGCTGAGTGGGCGGGGCTAAACTGCTGTGGGCTGAATGGGCGGGGCTAAACTGCTGTAGACTGGTGTGTGTGTGTGTGTGAGACTTTTGAGTCTTTTATGACGCTGATGTTGCACTTAGATTTGTTACAACAGCATAAAAATGAATGTAAATTGAAGACTGACAGGTCTGTAGTTTGACATCTCTAATGCAAACATCCTGAAGACGAGTTTGTTAAACTAATTTTATATAAAACACAGCTTTTCATTATTAAGGTTAGGTTTCTGAAAAAAATTGATCCTGTCTATCAATCTGCCGGCTTCACTCCACTACTTACTCTCCTCTCTCGTTCCATTCCAGACAGTTCACACACCCCGAGTGACCCTGAAAACAGAGAGATTTACAGCACATCATTTCATGTAAGATGTATCTTAATAATGCAACAAAACCAGGGCAAATAAAAAATATTATTAATTTGCACTTTTTTACATTTCTGATTAGTGGTATGTGTTGTTTAAAATGAATGTGTTTAGTTTTTGTCAAAAAAAAATCTAGAGAAGATTATTTCTAGGCAGGCTAACACTGCTGCGCACTGACCTATCACTAACTGGCAACCTCAATAAAACAGCCCACACAAACTGTGCGCTTTGTCCAGTGTGGTAATCAAGAGGCTTTGGCAGCTTTAGGCTGCAGTTTGAGTGTTCAGGAGTGTAACGATTCACAAAATTCAGAATTCGATTCAATACGATACAATGGTGTTTTGATTCAATACATTTTTGAATACGGCAAAAATAAAGAGCGGCTGAAAATGAGCCTCACATTAATAGGATAATTTTTGCATTTTTAGTTTATTACAGCATTCATCATTATTATAAAAGTACATTATTAGAAACTAAAGCTGAACTTTGTAGTTACATTAGCCACAAATTAACATGTATGTCACAATACGACTACACAACATGATTTACTGTATTATTAATTCCCTACTAACGTTACACAACAATGTTAATGTTATGCTACATTAATTTAATGTGCAGGAGTGTTAGCCTGCTTGCAGCATGTATGTAGCAGTATTCATATTTTGACCCCTTATTGACCTTTTTTTCTTCACTACAGGCTGAGATTGTGGTAATTTTAGAAAACGCTGCTTTTTTTAATTGGTTTACTTTTACCCAGTTTTTCTCCCCAGTTTAGTCCTGTCCAGTTCCTCTGTTAGCCAGCTCTCCCTCTATCTCACAATGCTGCCACACTGGGAGTGTGAAGGCTAACATGAGCTTCCTCTGAAACATCTGAATTCCATCTGACATCTCAAACTGTCACTATCAATGCTCCACTGTCACTGGAGCTCAACATGCTTGGAGGAGAACGCTAACTGCTAATTCTGCCACATCAGCTAACAGACAGCTGTGTTGGTTAGCACTGTGCTGAGTGGGTGGAGAGGAAGGACCATCCTTCCCACCCAGAGAGAGAACAGTGATGATCTTTTAGTCTCCAGGAGTCGTATTACAGAATCTTCTTAAGTCTAAAATCTGATGTGTTTAGTCTCCATGAGGACTTCAGTCCAGACTGAATTTCGGACAGTATCTATTCCAGAATAACAGCTCCTACCTTCATAACCTCATCATGAACTCCAGATAAGAAAACAGCATCACACAAACATCCTAACTAGACTAAACCTCCTAAATCCTGTCCTAACTTTAGGATGAACCCCAACAGGGTCCTCACTTCTGTTTAAGGTCCGTTTCTATGGTTTTTAGGCAGCTGAGTCAGCAGCATAGTTCACTACCAGCATAATGAGCTCCATTTATCTCTACTGTAAAACGCTGCTTTCACTGTGAGATGATTTTCTTTTCTAACTCTGCGTTTTAAAGATCTCAGACGCTGCAGACTCGATCTCCACCGCCCCTCTGATCACCTTCGTGTGTTAATGTTGATGCTGAAATATTACAGTGATGGTGGTGAATAATGAGGAGACGGAGCTGAACGTGTGTCTGTTTATTAGGAGGAGTAACGTTAGCGCGCTCGGCTAAAGCGTTTGGGAAATGGAGACTGAAACTGGGGAGCGGCGACGCTCTGATAAACAGCAGGGGGCGCTGACACAATATTCACTACTTACAGTTTATCACACTTTGGTTTAGTTTTAGCCTTTTTTACATCAGTAACAGCAGCTTAACTCACATTTTAACATTATTTTGATGATATGTTTATGTTTCAGCTGTGTGTTTATGGTGGGTTGCTAGGAAACAGATATGACAGCTGATTAACAAATTTGATCAAGCAAATTAAGATTTCCTAACTGGGCATAAGATGCTGTAAGATCAGGTAAAATTCCTGAATTAAGATCAGATTTGATTCTGTAATATAAATTTGTGAGAAATTTTATCTTGACCTGTCAGATTTAACGACAAAAAGAGAGGAAGTTTCTGTAATGCAGCTCCTGGTTACGGACGGCTGTGGCATCACTGAGGAGTCAACGCTTACGCCACTATTTCCTTTTCCCTTTATAGAGAAACTCAGACACAGAGTCCCTTATTTGGGGATCAGTAAAGGTCAATAACGGCAGCGTATGATGTCGCTCACCTGTAGCTCCGCCTCCAGGCCGAGGCGCTTTATAAAGGGATCAGTCACATGGTAATGTCTTTGAAAGCCCAGCGCCCTGTTCTCCTGCAGGAAAACACAAAACATCAACAAACACTCACAACACTACAGTCTGCACCCTCAACAGCTCCTCCAACAGACCTGCTCTCCACCCTAAACACGCCGTGCTCAGAATCCGTCATTAATCTGCAATCATTCATATCGTCACTGTCAGAACAAAACCTCGCCTCTCCATTTTTGCCTTTTTAATTTTTTTAATGATTTGAAAATGCCAGCTGTTATTTACATTGTATTAAAATTTCATGACGAACCGTCTGATAGAAATGCTCCAAAATGACTTAGAATAAAATCTTTACATTTGCTTACACTGAGAGTTAAGAAGGCTTTTTCCTCTCCTGTCACGTCTCTTTTTTAAAGATACGAGGTTTTTGTTTGGACAACGGCGAATTTATTAGTTCAGCTCTACATTGAAGTCCAAAAGTAGGTGAGCACTAGAGAAAGTGATTTATTTTACATTCTCTTCTAATTTTTCATTACAGATTATATCAGCACAACAATTTGGTGGTTTGCTTTCACAGCAGTGTGCAATTCGAGCTGCATGGACTCCACAAGTTTGTGTAAAAGTCTCTGACAAGCAGATTAAAGAGTCACTCTAACACGAGCTTCACAGAAGGAATAAGATTCAGAACAAATTTGAGCTTTTGGTACAAAGACCCGAATGTCACAAATCTGATCAAAATTGAAAACAGTGACACAGAAACTTGAGAATTTTACTTCTCAGAACTTTTCTTCATTGGAATTTTTTCAAATGTCTAAAACTTTCCATTGTTAATTTTCAGGCTTAAATGAAAAAATCCCAGGTTTTCAGTGTGGTATCAGACTTTTAGACCCCACTGTACATTCAGAGATAACATATTTGACCACAGTGACTGGACTGGGCCACTTCCCACACTCAATTAAAGCCAAAACTTGGGCTACAAAGACAGTCTGTTCGGGTTTTGGCGCAGAGCAGGGCAGCCTAACATGTCTCAGAACTAAAAGTAGTGTCACTGCAATCAAGTAATGAAAGACCAAAGAACCCCAGCAGAGCTTCTTAGGCCATCCAGCACCTATCAGCTCAGGAACTGGTGCCTGTTAACCTCTATTCTCGTCTTTTTGGATCCTTTTGGTCTGAAATAACATGCTAAAGCTCTACAGAGAGGAGTGAGCACCAGTAAAGCAGAACAGGAGCTGATCCAACACAGCAGAATGAAAGCAGATGAGCACAAATACATCAAAATTGCACTCTGGTTCATGCAACTATGTTCATATGCGTAAGGCGTATTATCCTGTGCGTATCTGCTCACCCGGATTTGTCTGTGCAGGATATCCCCGGCGATGTTCCTCTGAGTCATGGCTTCACAGCTTATCACTGAGCATGGCCTCAAGGTGGACAAAGCAGGGGTCAGAGCTCATCTGGCATCTATACAACTCACACCGCCAGCCGGACTAAAGCTTTAAGAACAGAAGAGAAACACAAATGAGGACAAATATGCACAAATAAGAGTCTTACAAACTCAACACATCCAGCAGGACCTCAGACGGACGGACACGGCGCAGCAGCGCCTGGATTTCCTGGGACAGTTTAAGAAATTTAGGCCACTTCAAGCAGTACTAGTCCAGTTCTACAGTTCTACAGTCATCTCATCCTCCGTCTCCGTCCGGTTCCACTCTGCATCTTCACACACCCAGCGTGAGCTGCAGCGAATGTGTTGAAAAGGGTTTAATAGCACCAAAAAGGGTTCTTCTACTGTTACAAGCTTGACATCGTAACAAGTGAAGAACCCTTTTTGGTGCTATACAAAACCATTTCCAAAATGGTTCAATGTAGAACCGTATACAACATATAGAACCATTTTACCATGCAAATGTTCTCTGAGTGTTCTATAAAGAACCATTGTCTCTCTCTTCCAGCAATTTCCACCTCGGCGGAGACTATTTTTACTCCGCATTTCGTTTCACAATGACGCTCTCATTTTGTCTTGTGTTGAAAAGTCTAATCTGGTTATATCGATTAATTTATTATAATGAATTAAAAGTAAACAAAACATAATTTACAATAAAATCAGAAACATCAGTTCTGTGTAGAACCATTTTAAGCTTAAACGGTTCCTTGCATGCTTCTTTAAATGGTTCTTCAGACTGACGGACAGCGTATTGTACACGGTTCTACATAGCACCAAAAGCTTGACATCATCACATTAGCAGAACCGTCTTTGGTGCTATATGGAACCGTTTTCAAAAGAGTTCTATTAGGAACCATTACAACACATTCTCCAACAATCCGAAGAAACACCTCACCACGCAAACACCCATTAAGCATGAAATGGTTCTATACAGCACTCATGGTTCTGAACAGAACCGTTCCCTTTGCTAAAGAACCCTTGAAGAACCATCTTTAAGAGGGTACTTTAGCACCACACACTGACAGTTCAACACCCCAGCTAACAGTCAACGGTTCTGACAGCCCGTACACTGCAACACATCCGATGTCAGGCCTTGAACACGGTATTAGACTGCAGCACGTGACGAAAATACTAAAATAATAGCTTAATAATCAGATTTTAGCTCGTTAGCTCGGCGGCTAAAAACAAAACAACGTCCTGAGCTCTGCGCTGCGTAGCGTTAGCTTAGCTTCTGTGCTAACTGCTGCTGGACCAACAAACAGCCTGGCGTCTGTTCTGCAGTGCAGTTCAGATTCATACAAATACATTTTCAACCATTTTATTGAATATTGTATCTAAATATTATATTATACTCTAATCTGAAAGTGGCGGTTTGTGTCTGTTGTGCTGCTGCGTTAGCTTAGCTTAGCCTAGCCTGGCTCTCTGCTCACCTGTAACACTGCAGCGGCGGATCGGAGCCGATTCTCCTCAGAAAAGGGCAGTAAATGATTTCGACTTTCTACCCAGGACACTCAGTAAAGTCCTCCCGGGCGCGCAAACCCAAACTAATCCGGGTTTGTGGTCAAAAGGAGGTTTTACAGCGCAGCTAACGCGGCTAACTCTCTGCAGCTCTGACTGACGGACAGGGTTGCCAGATCCCACCTGCACCTATTCAACCATAATACACCGCGGGGTGAAGCGAAGACAAACGTAAACCTTAAGAATTAAGGTGAATACAAATGAAAATATATAGAAAACACTTGTTAAAATAGATAACATACATACATTTAGATTTAGAAAGAGACACCAAAAAAAAAAGATATCAAATAATACATAAATACATATAAATATGAACGGATAGAGAAAGCTACATTTTAAGATCTGGAAAATCACAGATCAAGATTATGTTCCTTTTTCTTATTCATGCTTTTCATGTATGTTTTTTTGTCGAATGGACTGAAATTAATGCAGCGTTTATGAAAAGCAGTCATGTATATATAGACTGCTTTTCAGCTTTATAGCATATAGCTGATTTCACAATATTGCAGTCACTGTGTTTGTATTATATGAGCTGATTTTGGATTAAACAATTTAGTAAAAGGTCAGTTGTTTTGTGTCCGGCTGAATAAACAGGCTGAATGGAGATGATCATAGTTTTATCAGTTTTATTTGATAAAGCTTTAGAGCTACAACATCGATGAAGCTCCTCTGTATGTTTAGAAGCCTAAAGAGATTTTTACCTCACCGTGTAATGAATGGAAAGAAAAATAATAATATTCAACACTAAAAAAGTTGGCTTTGAAAGTGTCAAATTGGAAAACCTGGCAACATTGAGCCTTACACAAGCACTTCCGGTCTAAAAACTACACAATAAAAGCGTTCCCGTCAAATTCCCCAGTTTCAGCTGAGAAAATAAAACCTTATGAATAAAAGAGATAAAAAGAGAAAGAGAATTTGATCCCTTTTAAAGGATCTGAGTTTTAAGCTACCCTGTAAGTGCTGTGTGGAATTTTCACTGTTGCACTGCGGCTAATGTTGCTGTTCACACACAGATCTGTATGTTTAAACCCATTGATCCACACTGTTTACTGTATCTACAGGACACAGACACTGCAAAGTTCTCCAGTTTATTATGATCAATGTTTAATTGATTCCAAGACATGGTGGAGAAAGGGGAGAGAGATTTGTACATACATGTACACATGATGATAACAGAAACAGATAAAAACAATAAAACAGTAGTGTATGTATTCTGAGCAGCAAAGCGCTGTAGGAAAGCTGAGGCTCTTCAGCCGTGAGGTGGAGAAACTCTCCCAGCGTCTGATCAGTCCTTCTTAACCTGAGCCACCTCCTGCAGGTAGGCGATGAACAGCTTGGTTCCCTCGATGTAGTTGTACCTGAGAAAAGTGAAGCACATGAAACCATAAACAGTCAGAAAATACGAAACAATTCACAGTTACAGAGACATTCTGAACGTTTAACATGAATAAAGCTTAACATGGCTTAATGTACTAAAACACCAAATCTCTCTCATTTCACTGCCTTAAACACTGTCTACTGTCAAAGGAGGAGCCTCTTATCTAACTGTTTCTATAAGATTCATATGAGGAAAAGGTTTTAGTTAGATTACAGGTTTATTCTTTTACAGTGTTCCTAGACTCTGTTTTAATACATTAAACTGGCTTATAGTACAGTGAACCACACTTTAGCACAGTAAACCATGTTTTAGTACATTAAACTATATTTTAGCACATTATTAAATACTTTAGGACTTAAAATACAGTTGTAGTACATTAACGAATGTAGTAGGACATTAAGCCATATTTTCGAACATTGAACCACATTTTGATACATTAAACCACTCTTTTTTACATTAAGCCACATTTTAGTACATGAAGCCACATTTTAGTACATGAAGCCACATTTTAGTACATGAAGCAAAGTTTTAGTACATGAAGCCACATTTTAGTACATGAAGCCACATTTTAGTATATAAAGCCACATTTTAGTACATGAAGCCATATTTTAGTTCATGAAGCCACATTTTAGTACATAAAGCCACAATTTAGTACATAAAGCCAAGTTTTAGTAAATAAAGCCATATTTTAGTTCATGAAGCCACATTTTAGTACATGAAGCCAAGTTTTAGTACATAAAGCCACATTTTAGTACATGAAGCCACATTTTAGTACATGAAGCCACATTTTAGTACATTAGGTCATATTTTAGTACAGAAAGGTAAGTTTTAGTACATAAAGCCAAGTTTCAGTATATTAGGCCACATTTTAGTACATTAGTACATGTTTTGCCTCTTTATGCTCTTTATGTCTAGTTTTCACGTTAAGGTGTGTTTCGGGTACTCAGTTACCTGCTCATCTTCTCGTTCTGAGAGTGAAGGCCGTCGTCGAAGCCTCCGATGGGCAGCATGATGATGCTCTTCTCCGTCACGTCCTGAAATGCCCTGGCGATGGGGATTGTCCCCCCCTCTCGGATCATGTCGGGGTCCACGTTAAACACTGCATCAGGACAGAAACGAGAGGACAACATCGTAACCCACACCCACTGCACCAACACTGGAATGAAGTCTTATCCACGCAATGTCAGAGACCAAGCTAACGGACACACGCGTGAAATATACACTGTGAGTGGGTGTTTCTAATAAAGTGGCCAGT